ACTTTTTTGATGTTGTTGACATGATTTGAAAGTTTTATGTACAGTTACCAAAATGCTCCTAAAATTTATAGCTGAGTTGAAAACTTCATAGAGTGAATAAAATCAATAAACTAAGATCCGTGAATGAAAGTCAATTGTATTTATATAGCAAAACAATGAAAAATTAAAAATTGGAATTATAATACTGCTTTTACAATAACATAAAAATTAAAATACTTATCAATTAATCAAACAAAATTTATGAAACCTATCCATTGAAAATTACAAAAATATTACTGTCAAATGAAGGACAACTTGAATAAATAGAAGTAAATTATCACATTCGTGGACTGCATGATTCAGTACTACTAAGTTGCCAAACCCTCCATTTTATCTATAGATTCAAGGTAGATGCAGTCAAAATTCTACTCTTGAGGTGAGTCTGGTAGTGCATGCTTGTAATCCTAACACTCCGGGAATGTAAGGCAGAAAAATTACAAGTTTAAATCCAGCCTGGGCAATTCTGTGACAGCATTTAAAAAAAAATTAAAGGGATGGGGATGTAGCTCCGTGCAAAGAGCCTGGGATCAAACCTCAGTACTACAGGCAATAAAAAAATATTCTATTTTCTGGAAATTAATAGACCGATTTCAGAATTGACATAATACTACTATAGCTTTACAAAGAAGATTAAAGGTGGAAAACTTACAATACATACTTGCAAGACTTAGTTATGACCACAGAGAACAAGATAGTACTGTAAGTCAAACAACAGACATATTATATAGATAAATATAAAAGTAGAGACTCACAAAAAACAGAGACTCACAAATGCATGGTGAGTTGATTATTGACAAAAGTATACGGACAATTCAGTGAACAAAAGATAGTTTTTTTTAATGAACAGCCCTGGGGAAATTGCATGCCTCTATGAATATTGTGAGATTCAATTCAGCTTTCACTGTGAATAAAAATTAATTCAAGATGGATCATAGACCTAAATATAAAATCTAAATCTACACATCTTTAACAAGGAATGGATAAGAAAATCTTAACGATCTTACTTCAGACATACATTTACGGCTTATAAAATAAAACATGGCTAAGTTTTATTTCACCAAAGTTAAGGATTCATTGTCCTCTAGAGTGTTAAGATAATAAATTAAAAGATAGCTGTAATAAGTGAAAAATATTTGCCATTCTCAGTCTGTTATCTTGCATGCAAAATTTTTAAAGATCTCTATATATCCAACAATCAAACAAACACTCCCACATAAAACTAAGAAAAAAGTGTTAGCAAGAGATTTAAAGACGTTTCATAGAAATAGATATTTTAGATCTTCTGACCTATATATTTTCATTTTGATAGCTGTTTAAAGATTTTATGTTCCTGACTGTATTACATTGACTATTTGTGCTATACCAAATGGGGACAAAATCGTGTTATGCATTTAAATTATTATATTCTCTTATTCATTAAAGGACTTTCCTTAATTACATGTTCATATAATTTATACATATTTATAGCATTATAACTCAAATAATTTAGTCATTTTTCATGGTTGTAGTTCATCTTAATTTTTCTACTGTCTAGAAACCTTGTGGATTTTATATCTTTTTTGGAAAACTATTCTTAACATATATTTTCGTTCTCATGTAATTTTATTTTGTACTTATAAAATGTCCTTCTTATGAAATGATAACATTTTTATGAATGCCTTTAGCTCACATTCTAGAGACTAATTCACAATAATTAGTCTTGTTTTTTCTTAAAACTAGCTGATTTAAAATAAATTATCTGCATCATAAATGTCATTTTCATGTAATTTTCCACAACCCTAAATCATTTTGTTTCAGAATTTGGAGCAAAATCATTTTCTAAAATTTTTGTGCAGTCATTAGGGAAATTCATTTGTTATAAGTATTTGTTCTGTTGGAGTCTAAGAAGCTAAGGTTGAATAAGACTTGATTGAGAAGATGAGGGGTAATGGAGAAAGTGGAGTTAAGATTAATACAAACTTCTGAGTAGAGCAACTAAGTTCTGTTATTTCCTTGAATAGGAAATATGATAGAAAATGAATTTTGTTATTTGCTCTTATAAAAGTTACAAAACTTTCTTTGTCATGATGTCTCAGACATAAACTATAAGTAATAATTTTATCTACTTCATCTTTTCATTGGAAGTATGACAATGTAGAAAGTAGAATAACCTCTGTCACAAACAAAACACTTGAGATGAGCTATTATTAGTGCTGTTGAGTTTTAAAACACCTGAGAGATGTTTAAGACAGTTGCTTATGGAAGACTGACTTTAACAAAAAAAATTGACATTTGAGATTCCCCAAGGAAAGAGAGAAAAACGTTAAAAAAGAATCTAGAGTATCAGACAAAGGGGAAAAACACAGAAAACAAAGAAAAACAAAGAAAAACAAGAATGATACTTTTTTAAACTTTTAACCTCCAGAAATATACATACCATGCCATTTTCTGTTGTGTTAGCAAATTACAATAAAACCTAGAGCAATTTTAAGGATTAAATGAGTATTCAATAAAAGGTAGTAAGTTAAGGGCTGGGGATTTAGCTCAGTAGCCTAAGTGCCTGCCTGGCAAGTGCAAGCTTGAGAGTTCGATTCCTGGTACCAAAAAAAAAAAAAAAAAAAAAAAAAAAAAAAAAAAAAACCAGTTAATAAGTTAGTATGCAACCAGTGTCAACCTTACCTGTCATTTGCATTAGGGGCTCAGGTGTAGGATCATACTCTCAAACTTTCCTTACACAAAGCTTATATAATTTATACTTTATTAAAGCTTCTACCTTTGAAAGTATCAAGATAATTCTTTCAGTTCTTTTTTGCCACTGCTCAGTAGCTTCTCTTAGATCTTCCTTACTATAATATTGCTCAGTCAGGACCACATTGATCAACTATAAGGTGAGGAGATTTTAGGATATATCATTTGTAAGTGTAAGGTTTTATTAATACCAGCACAGTAAAGGTTTTCAGCATCCTTCATTTTCTTTTTTATTGTTTTAAGAGTGGAATATATTTATTGAGAGAAAGAAAACTTCTGTGTCGGGGCGGGGGGTAGATGGATACAGAAGGGGTCCTGAGTGGGTTGCCAGTATCCCTCTTAGTCTCTAGTTTGTTTCCCTATTATCTGTAGCCCAGATAGCAGTTTGTTTTCTGAGAAAATGCAGCTTTCTTCATTCATTTTTCTCATGTTTTGCAGAGGTATGATCTAAATACCAGCCAAAAACCCAGACTGTTTTCTACTTATGGAAATGTACTGGAACTAGAAAAATCTTCCTCTTGTTTTCTTTCTAACTGAAACTCATAATCTCATTTTTAATAGTAGCTCTGTCAGTAATGTACTATGTGATGATTTGAGGCAACCCAGTTCTAAAATTTTTCAAACTTTAAATTTTTCCCTTGTTACCCTATTTCCTTCAAAATAACTGAATTGAAGCTAAGAAGATTAAATTATTATGATTTTATTACTAATTACAACAACAAAGGGATACATTTCTAGAAAAAAGAAAATATATACATAGGACTACATGTCAATAATAATTATTGTTAAAGCCCTGCAAGTGTTATAATCTATTAGTAATTAGTCAGCATTTGATTCATTGGCTTTGAACTAGTAAAAACAAACTTACTAGAAACTGTCCTTTTAAAGAACTTATATTTTTTAGGTTATAGGATAATTCAGCATAAAGAATTCTTCAATACAAAATTATGTAAGTTCTTTAGATGAAATTTAGTACTTATAATACAAACACACATGCACACACACATACATTTTGGGGATAAGAATAATAGTCTGTTGTGCCTTCATCTGTAGAAGGTATACATACCTTTATTGGCCCTTTACTCAATCTTCTTGTGGGTATCCATGCTTTCTCTTTCTCAAGTGTTACCCATGCTGTCACTGTGAGATCTGATAGGAGGGTTCACAGGGTTCACAGATTAAAATCTGGCTAGAGGTAGGCTTCAAGGTTTAGGAAAGTAGAGAGTTGCTGGTAGCCCTGGTAGCTGGTAGCTAGTAGTGGAAAGCATGTGCCAAGGAGCCCTGAGCCTTTAAAGTTTTTAAATTTTGTATTGGAGAATTCTCTTTCTGTGATTGGTATTTCTAACAGTACTGGAGTTCACACCCTTTCTGTGCCTGGCTTTATGAAATTTAGCTGACCCTAATGTGTCAATCTACATAGAACTTGGGTTGGCTCAGATGTCTCCATCTTTCTGGCTTTATGGATGTAAACATCAGGCAACTGTTCTGTATAGATACTGATAAGATGGCTGTCTGTCTTTGATAGGTAAGCAGCCCTCCATGGCTGGTGTTAAGTGCTGTGGTCAGAATTGAGAAAGGACTTATAATTACATTAATCATTCTGAGTAAAGAAATTACTGGAGATGTTTTCTTTGTATATTTTTGTTTTCTATCATGAACATGCATTCCTTTTTGTGTTAACTTTACAGACAGAAAAATATAAAATTTTGATATTAAAAGTTTTTTTCTGGCTAATTTATTCTAGCAGTCAATGAAGTTCCATTTGGGATAACTCTACAACTTTTTTACACTACAATAAATCTGGAAGTTTCTTTGAGACTTTGCTTTTACTCTTCTTAAAACACCTCCCATAATTATGTTATGTAACTCTTACATATCTGATCTAATCTTTTGCCATTCTCCTTGTTAAATTTGATGTTAGTACATTTATGTCTTATTTCAGCTCTGACATACTTTTTTTAGTTTTACATTAAAGAAAGAAAGAAAGAAAGAAAGAAAGAAAGAAAGAAAGAAAGAAAGAAAAAGAAAGAAAGAAAGAAAGTCCATTGCTATATATAATATAAATTTGGGATGATTTTTGTTTTTTCCTCATACATTAGAGATTTCTCCATGTTAGTAGATATAATTATTAAATTAATTTTGTCTGTGTAATCAGTTAATCTTTCTGAATCTCAGCCATGCTTATACTTGAGAATTTACTAATGACCTTGTGTTTCATTCTTGTTCATATGCAGGGAGAGAGAGGATTTCCAGGTTTGGAGGGCCATCCAGGTTTACCTGGATTTCCAGGTCCAGAAGGGCCTCCAGGTCCTCGGGGTCAAAAGGTATGTGTCAAGTTGCCAACCAGGAATACCAGAGGAATTGAGCCATTTTAAATGAGATACTGGATGTCAAATCAACTATAAAATATAACTTCTGTAAGAAATATATATTTACATCAAATGCTGGAATAGTAGACAGTTTAAATTGTCGGGGGTTGTAATTGAATTCAATGCTGTATTTCCTTTGGGAAGAATTATTAATTGTATGTGGTTTTGGAAACTTTTATAAAAATTAAGTTCTGTCAGAAGCTTTGCTGATTTAGACAGAGCAAGGCTGCTAGGTGTCAGAGTAGCTGATCATAGCAACAAGCCACAGTGCAAGTAACATTGCTTATTTATTTCAATATTATGAGTAAAAAGTTAAACTGAAGAAAGCACCAACTCCCCCACTGGTCTATTTCTGCCCCATGGCACAGCAAGTGTCAGATTAGTACAGACTTTAGAAATCCTTTCACTCTTGGGAGAGCACAGAACAACAACAAAACTCCTGCAGTTTTATGGACCTGAGGCAGGGTGGGAGAAGAGAGAGAAAGGTTAGGAGTGGAGAAGTACTGAGTTAGAGTGCAGAGTACCTACCTATCTTCAGGGTTCTCCCTCCCATACAAAATTCTCCACCAAAGACCCCAGATAAAGAAGTCTATCAGAATAAAAGCACAGCCAGCCCAGGGAGCCTGAGTGAGTCCTTGACGGAAAGCTCCCTTCAGAGACTTCAGTATATTAGCTGTATATCAAGTTTGTTGTTGGCAGCTGTCCTCCATAAGTCCTGAGACTGGGCTTTAAATAATCACACAAAGCCATTTAACAGGACTCATACTCTAATTCTGCCACTTGATTTTTCAAGGGCTGGACGAGAAACATAAGCTTCCTTATCATGGGCCTGAATGGGTTGAACATTACAGGCCTATGTTGAAAACTAGGCAGTCAGTGTCTAATCATAATGGTTTTAATGTTATTCAAAGTAGGATGCGACATCTGTTTGAAAGATTGAGTGGTACCAGCTATTGTCAAGCCAAGAGTAAATGTTCCATAGCTCAGATAATTGACTTTTGAGAGCCAAGAAGCATTTTTTCTTAAATGTTACACTGGACTGCCTCAGTTTTTCTCTTTTAGTCACTGAGGTGCAAAAGGAGTGCTGATAGTAAAAGAGACCCTTTGTTGATCAGCAGGAGATTGCAGAATAAATGGCTACCATCACCACAGCCAATGACTTTAGACTAGTCTGCTATGTGCACAGGCTAAAGTAAAGTCATAAATGTCCTCAGCAATGGTCAAGGGCATGTCCAGCACTACCCTCTGTAAGTGAAGGACTGACCACAGGAAACATTGCCTGAAGCATATTCATGAGTATAAAGTCTGTAACACAACTTGGAAATTCTTCTGAGTAACCAGAGTTTATCTGGTTTTGGAGTCCCTATTTTACCCTTTGCAGTCTCAAATGCTTAGTAAGAAGGAGTATTTTGAATTTTTGAGAATTTTTTTTATCACTATCCTAAATAGGCATACCTCACTGGTAGGAATATTAAAGGTCTGATTTTTACAAAAATAATACTGCCATGGGGATGCACACTGTTCTAGGAATATATACCATTAATTCTTTGAGGATGAACCAGGCAGAACTCCCTGATAGGCAGAGTCCTTGAGTGAAACTGGACAATTTGTGTACTATGTTAAAGGTTGCCACTCTTAAGACCAGAACAGCAAAATGGCATACCATATCTTTTTTCTCAGATGTTTTAGTTGCTTTCATTTTAGTTACTGGGACAATACATCCGGCACCTATACAGGACAGGACACATTTGAAATCTGAGGAGTTATTTTGTTGCTATGGTATCTGAATTCAACTGTGACAACAGGTTAGGTCCAAAGTGATACAATTTGGGTACTGAGGTACAAAAATAGTCCACATTTAGAAAACTGTCCATTTATAATATTCAGTCACACATAATTCCATAGACTTACATATGGTGTTGCATAGTGAGTGAATTATTCATCAGTTTTGTCAAACTCATGGTAATGGCAACTACTTGGAAGAGGCATATCAATGAATTTGGCAAGGAAATGGTCACATAGGCTATCCTGTGGGTGAGAGAGAAGAGAGGTTAGATTCATACTCTCTAGCACCCATATCTAGGCTCATGGATGCAAAAGTGTTCTCATCCTATTAGTTGGGAGATCTGTGCCTGTTAATTGCAATATGGGCAGTCTGCCCTGCACTGTGAACAAGGATGACATCTTTATATGCATGCTAAGATATGGAATGAGAAGAAAGAATAGTGAAGTTTAAGACTGTTTCTTTTTTTTAAGAGAAAGAGAAGTTTCTTTTTTTAATGGCTATTTTGGATCAGTGCCCTTATCCACCTGTATTAGGTAGACTGGTGAGGTGATATATGAATGTGCCACTTCTGTTCATGTGCCTGTAAAGGAAAATTGACTTTAAAAAGTCTTTTTAGGAAATTTTATTATTTTATATAATGATGGTATATCATATTGTTACAGTTCTAATATCAAAAAGATACTCACTAAATGGTTTTTCAATAAAGGAAGAAAATTAACTTAAATGCATGAATATTTTTGACATTTAACTATTTAGAGTTTAGATTTTGGGAGAATGCTGACCATCATCTTGAGGAGAAACTTGTTTTGTTAGATTCAAGAACAGATTGGATTCAAATTTGTTGAGTAGATCTTGAACCCTGAGGAAACACCAAGATCCCTAATGATTCCACAGAATTTTAGTAGATGGTCATTCAACTGAATTTCATGTGTCTAATAACAGCAAGAGCAAGAGCAGCAGAATGATTTTTGTGCACCCATGAGTGATACAGAAGTACTGCAGAGCAATCTGAGAGTCAAGTGGATGGAACTGAGCACCAACAGAGCAGCAATTCATTTAGATTATTGGCATGTGACATTTCAGTGAATTGTAGTTTGAATCAGACTTTTCTGCCTCTCAATACATTGGAACTACTTAAACTTTCCCAAACTAAAGTGTCTTTGAAAATGAGGTGAGCGCTCCATTTGACTAAGATTAAATTTCAGCCATAATATGGAAGCCAGTGCTTTGGAATAGAAATTTAGTTGAACCACAGAAAAAGTTGTATTTATTGCATTTTGTGTTTATCTGGAATGTTATAGTTGATACATTGTGTCAATTTGAGAAGTTTAACTGAGAAGCTCAGCAGGGAACAGGGTTCTTACTTTGTAAATATCCTCATCCTGTGCAAAGGAGGGCAAGGAGATTCTGTGAGTGCTGTGTCTGCCCTGGAAGGGCAGGTGTGGGGAGTGTGCAAGTGGGGAGGACAGGAAGGTGATGGCCTGCATACAATATAAGGGAGGAGGAGAAGCGTGTTTTCTCTCTCTTTTTTTTTTTTTTTTTGTTTTACTCTGGCTGCTGCTTTGAAGTGTTATCCAGTGTCTTGCTACACTGCCTTGGAGCCAGCTGATTACAGACTGAAACCTCCACAACAGTGAGCTAAATATAACTTTCCTTCCTTTCTTTTGGATGTAGGGTGCTTTGTCCCAGCAATAAGAGAAAAATAAAAGTAACCAAGACATGGGATTACTGGCCGAATCATTTGCACATCATTCTTGTTTACAAATAAGTTTTAATAAAGATTCAAACTATATTAGAAGTTAACTAAATCCGAATTATTTTGAAATAAATCAGTATTAACTGGTACTACTCAACAGTGATATGATAGTTTGTAAAGATATTCTTTTATGTGGTTTAACTTTAGAAAGAAATGCAGTCTTTTGGAGTGATTCTATTTCAGTATCTATACAGTGAGAAGATAAAATGTTTTCTGAGTTTTTAGTATTTTAAATTTAAAACACTTTGTACTTCTGTATCCAGTATGACTCCCTAGGAATACATACTTTTTATATAATTGTCTAATCTGCTATATGCGTACATGTTGATGCATGTAAGTCAAAAGTTGTGTAGAATTATTCTGTATTGATACACTTCTATTTATGGAAGTGAAGATATATGAAACAAATATATATATATATATATATATATATATATATATTCGTGTACTTACATATTATTTTGCAAAGGAGTTCTTTTTAACAATAAAACTTAGTGTTTTATAGCAATATATGCAAATTATTTCAGGTAAATTAATGTAAGAGTTAACCCAATGAAAATAATCTTCTTTCCACCAGTGTTGATTAGTTACTGAATGACAGTCTCATATTTTACCCCTGTGTTTATAAAATAGTTGTACACTATGTTTTACTTTTACTAATTGCAGATATCCTATATAAATATGCACAGAACTTCATTACTTTTCATAAGTGGATTATTTGTGTAGTTTTTGTTTGTTCCTATAGAGCTATTAAAATGTATAACATTGATTAAATATCTTTTCACCAGTAAGGGATTAACTCTGTGGATTACTTACTAGAAGTCAGAAAATACTCACACATACATAACTTTGTGAATACTGCCAAACTGGTCCTCTCAAATCTGTTATTTAGTCTTGGTTCACCAACACACAAGAAGATCAATTTCACTGTGGCTTCACTAACGCTAGTATGGAACTTTTGGATTTTTGTCAGTATGGTAGGAAAGAAATCTTTCAGTATACTTTCATTTACATTTATCTTTTTATGAGCAAATTGTTTTTCATTGGTCTGATAAAACATCTTTCTTGTGTATGACCTGTATATATAATTTGTCCATCTCTTGTCAAGCATTTGATGTTCTCACATTTCACTTGAACTACAAATGGTGAGCAAAATATATGGTTAATATTTGGTTTTCTAAAATTTATTACAATAAAAGACACATTGCCAATAATTTTGCTCAACATATTCCCCCTCACTTCAAACACACATTTCATATTGTCCCTGGAACTTTTTAAAGTAGTTCTGAAAAGACTTGTTTCATAAGTGTGGTCAAAAATACAAAGTGTGGTCAAAAATAAGGTCCATGGCATCCAGTGAAAAAAGACTGGCTCTTGGAAGCATTAAGATGTTTCTATATTCATACTATTCACTGGATCTGGCACTCTTGTGACTTGTGGATATCCTGAAAAATCAAAATGAGCTTAAATGATAAAACGTTTTGAATTGATTCAGTGAACTGAGGCACCCAGGACACTACAACTAGAGAAAACATTCACAATTTTTAAAATCACGCTTCTTATTATATTACATGGAATTTGGCTGTTTGTCTGTGTAGTTTGCATTACTTTCCCCTATCTTATAATTTCATTTTGCTTGGTGTGTACGTATATGTGTGTGCATTTCATGTGTTTGTTTTTTAAAATCTGTGTTTTTTGAGCAGCAAGAGCTTTTCCTACTACGAGATTATATAACTCTCAAATATTTTCTCCTAGTATGTTAGTGCTTTCATTTTTTATATGGCAAATATTTTTCTCGTGCAGAATTTTCCCTGGTATATAACGTGTCATTTAAATTCCTCCCTTTTTTCCCATATAATCCCATAACTTCATTTTCTCCAAGGATTTACAGTGCCACTTTTATTATAAATTTTTTGTTTAGTCTTTTTGACTTCCTTACGTTCATTTACTTGAGTCAATTACTGTCTGGAAATATTAAATGGAAAATTCTAAAAATTAGTCTCTGAACTTTAAGTAACTTTTGTTATGATATATTGTCATAAATGCTCCATTTTATTATTGCCTGTTGCTAATGTCTTCATTTTTACATTAAGCTTTACTGTAGGTAGGCATTCATAGAAAATACAGTATTACAGACATAGGTTTTGTCACCCACTATGGGTCATGGAGTATATTTTATTAAGGGGGAAAATATGAATATATGAATATATGGATTTTTTCTGAACCTCCCATCTCTTCTAATGGTCAGCTTATTCAAATATCAAAACCAACCTATTTTACTTATTAAAACTTTGTCATATTTTTATTTCTGAAATGGTTACTGTCTCTATAATGCTTTTCTTTTTAGATTTTTTCTTTCTTGCTATTTATTTTTCCATATGAACTTAAAAGCCACCATTTAAAAAACATTATTTCTGTTTTTATGTCAAATTTTTAATTAAAGTTGTTGAGAAGTGACTTGTATATGTTACAATCAATTATTTAAATACATGAACCACTTTTCCATTTATTCAGATCTTTTATGAGTCTCAGAAGATTTTGAACTCTTCTTCTTGTGAATCTTTTGTGTTTTGCATTAAATTTATTGCTAAATATTTTATTGTTTTGCTTTTAGAATTTGGATGTTTTTATATTATTCATACTAACTGGTAGTTGTTTGAATAAGAGTGTTATTGACAGAACCCTAGAGATTTTGGGTGCTTTGTTTGCTTTGATTTTTTTTTGAGACAATCTTGCTGTGTAGTTCTGAGTAGCCTTGAGTTCACTGTGTAGCCCACGCTGACCTCGAATTCATAGCAGTCTCAGCCTCCTGCTTCCCATACAGCAGGATTACAAATGTACACCACCACATCTGACTTGAGCCCTTGAGTTTGAGACCAGCCTGGATAACATAGCAAGACTGTGTCTCAAACAAGAAAGAAATGCAAATGTGATTTGCTTATTAATATATTTGTACACAGTTATCTTACTGAGTTAAACTATTCATTATAGCAGGTTTTTAAAAACTATCTTCGGTTTTTTTCAGGCACCCCATTATATCACTTTGTAAATATATCACTTTGCTACAGCTTTTCTAACTTTCAGGGATTTTTAAAATATGTTGTGGGTCACAAAATCCAAAGCTTAGCATACATAAAGCACGTTTTATACAGCTGAGTGGTATTTCCAGTCTCATCATTCTAACGATCATCCTGCTAGTTTTTCCCCTTTTTTAAACATGTTGGTTAGTATAATCTATACAACATTGAGGCATCCTTGTTTTATATGTGACTTTAGTGAAAAGATGTTTAAGTAATCATTGAACAAAAGTTTTCCTAGTTGTTTCAGCATAGCATCTATTATAATCTCATTAGAAATGCATTTGTTGTGGAAATAATATATTATTAAACTTTTGACAATAGAATGTGGAAAGGAGAATAATTGCCATCTACCCCCCACAATAGCCATGTGTTTATTCCTGAAAATTGTAAATATGCTACATTACATGGAACAAAATTAATTTTCTTTGTTCTTTTTTTAAAGGAAAACATTTAATAACACATATGAAACTTAAAAATTTCAATAATTCTGTTGTGTCTAGAAATGCAGAAGTAGATTAACACTCATATGGGTAGCCTCTTTTGCATGGAATAGACAGCAGAAGCTCAAATGGAAATTTTACGGTTCTTTCTAATCCTATTTAAATTCTGCCAATAGAAAATGCTTTGTAAAACAAAGCAAAGGTTCAAAACAGCAAATTCAAGAGCAGCACATATTAGGGTGTTGGAATGATGCTATTTATTACCAATGTGGTAAGCAGATAGACATTATGTTGAAATTGCCCAAACTTATTCTGTTTATACATAAATGTTTTGAGAGGGGCTGGGGGTTTAGCTCAGCGGCATAAGCACCTGCCTTGCAAGCAGGCGGTCATGAGTTCGATCCCCGGTACCGATAAAAATGAAGAATAAATGTTTTGAGAAATATCTAACTTTAGTCTCATCTTTGATTCATACTTCAAAATGTAAAATTTTATCTACTTTTCAGCAGTTTTCTTCTCACTAAATAAAATACTTTCTTAATTTTGGTCATGTAATTTATTTCAGTATTTATAGTCTCAATAATAAATGTTTCGGGGCTGGGGATTTAGCTCAGTGGCATAAGTGCCTGCATGGCAAGCGCGAGCTCATGAGTTCAATTCCCAGTACCAAAAATAAAACAAAACTAAATATATATATATATATATATATATATATATATATATATATTTCTTACTTGGGTGTTTATGGTTCTCACCTGCACAAAAGTTTATAAAAGTTCATATCTCATAACAAAAACATTAGTTATTTAAGGTTTAAGGTCTTTTTTTCAAAGACAAAAACTAAATGTATTGTATTTTTCAGGGTGATGATGGAATTCCAGGACCACCAGGACCAAAAGGAATCAGAGTAAGAAATATTTAGAATATATTGAAAACTTTGTTAGTGGAGACAGATTGATAGGGTTTTCAGCACGAGGAAAGACAAAAAATATAAAGAAACAGTAGCATTTATTCCAAGGAGATGGAGAAAAGTTCAGTGACCAAAGATGGCCGGGCCTCTTCTGATTGGAATGTGGGGTATGGGATATATATATATATATCACCTCTGACCGGGGGTTGCGCTTAGGGCGGGCATTGGTGATGCACAAGCAGTTGACTGGGATTTTGTTTGCACCACTGGTAAAGGAAAAAGAAAGTTGTCATAAGGGAAGGAGGAAGTGACCTTAAGGTAAACGTCCCTTGATTTCGCCTCCCATTGCCATAATAGCGTATCTAGGGCAAAATCCTTTCACAGACAAAAATGTGAATGAAGCCACGTGTGGTGGTGCATGCCTGTAATCCAGCACTTGAGAGGCTGTGACAGGAGGCTTGCTGTGAGTTTGAGACCAACCTGGGCGAGACAGTGAGTCAAGGCCAATCTGAACTACACAGAGAGATCCTGTCTCCAAAGCAAAGAAAAACAAACCAAAAACACTCCAAAAAAACATGACAAATGGATTCAACAGCTGCTCAATGACTCATAGAAGACTAATATAAGAGCAATTAGAATTAATAAAAGTCAGAAAACAGAACAAAGGGCATAAAACACATATTTACAGAAACAATAGCAGAAAACTTTCCAGATGTGGAAAAGAAATTTGGCATAAGGATAAATGAGGTAAATAGAACACCAATTAGCCATGATTAGGAAAAAAAAAGGCAATACCGATTAACAATAAAAATACCAGAAATCCAACAAAAGAGCAAAATCTTAAAGGTTGCTAGAGAGTAACAATGAACCAGTTGTAAAAAGAAAACTAATCACAATTAAGACAGACTTTTCAAAACAAACTTCAAGGCAAGGAAATCTTGGAATGACATGTTTCAATCTCTAAAAGAACAACTTTGAACTCAGACTGTTATGTACTGAAAAATTATCTTTCAAAATTGATGGAGAAATAAAATACTTTTATGATAAATAACACCTAAAGAAATCCATGGCCATCAGACCAATATGCCAAAAATTCTCAAGGATATTCTAGAAAGAATCAAAAAGTGAACAATGCCAAACTGCCCAATAGAATGAATGGGATAGCAATTACAAAAAAGGGAAAGAAAGCAAAACAACAGCAGGTAAATAATAAAATAACAAGAATAAATCAACATCTATCAAGTATAGCTATGAATGTAAATGGACTCAGTCTGCCAAGCAGAAGACACTGATCAGATGAACAGATCAAGAAACAAAATCCAACAATGCACTGTATATAAGAAACATATTTAAAACTAAAAGAAATTCACAGACTAAAAGTCACCCTACTGAGAACATTATGCTTTCTTTCTAAAATCAGAAAGAAGACAAAGCTGTCCACTATCACCACTCTTGTTTAACATAGTCCTTAAATCATTGACAAGACCAGTCAAGCAAGAGAAAGACCAAAATGCATACATAAAGGGAAAAGTCAAAGTTCTCATTATTTACAGAAACACAGAAATAAATAGCATTCATATACACTGGCAATGTACTCACTAAAAAATATTAGGAAAACAATACCACTTGTCATGATTTGTATAAGTGCCCCCCCCCAAAGCCTCATGCAATCATGGACATGGTCAATTCTAGCATTTGTGATTGGTTTGTTTTCTAGCACTTTGGTGGCACGAGTGCTACATCCAACCAGGGGTGGAGTCAGCATATAGTGTAAGGACAAGGAAGAAGGCTGGCTTTTCTCTCTTGCCAATTCACACCTTGCTGTTTGCCAGGGTCATGAATCTCTGCCCCCCAGCCATGCTTTGCAGCCAGCTGAGTATGGACTGAAACCTCCAAGAACTATAAGAAATAAACCTTCCCTTTCCTAATTTTGGGAAGGTATTTTGTCTCAGCAATCAAAAAAAGTAACCAAAACATCATTCAAAGCAGCATCAAAAAAATTAAGTCCTTAGGAATTATCCCAACCAAAGAAGTAAAAGACGTCTGCAATGAAAGTTACATCAGACTGAAAAAAGAAATTGAGGAGGACATCTGAAAACGGAAAGATATCCTTTGTTCCTAGATAGGCAGAACCAATATAAACAAAATGGCTATGCTTCCAAAACTTATACACAGATTTAATGTGATCCCAGTGAAAATACCAACAGCATTCTTCATAGATCTAGTGAAAATAATCCTAAAATTTATATGGAAAAAGAGACCCACAATAGCAAAAGCAGACCTTGGTAACAAAAGCAAAGCAGGTAGCATTACAAACCCAGACTTGATGTGACATATACTAAAAATCTACATTGAATAAAATAGCATGGTGCTGACACAAACACTGGCTTGTAGATCAGTGGAACAGAATAGAAGAAACAAACACATACAACTATTTAATCTTTGACAAAAGGGCCAAAAATATGCACTAGATGAAAGATAGCCTCTAAGAAATGGTGTTGGGAAAACTAGATATCCACATGAAGAAGATTGAGTCTAGCTAATTCCATATATCTCACCATGTACTAAACTAAAATCAAAATGGATCAATAAACCAGATATTAAAAGAGAACCAATTAATTTTCTGGAAGATAAAATAGTTACAACTCTTGAAGGCATAATTACAGATAAGGACTGTTTGAACAGAACCCCAGTGACACAAGAAACAATACTGAGAAGGAATTGAAGGGATCATATCAAATTAACCGCTTAGAGTATCATTTTCCATCCTTTCACTCTGTGTATGTCTTTATAGCTGAGATGTGTTAGTGGTATATAACATATAGTTAAGTCTTATTGCTGGATACAGTCTGCCAATTGGTGACTTATAAGTGGATGAATAAGAACATTGACATTGTGTTATTATTGAAAGGTGTATAATAGTTCCTATCATTTTATTATTTTTCTGTTGTTTGGTTTATTCCTGATTTTCATTCATCTATCTACTCTCCCACTATGGTTTATTCCTTCCCTTGGTCCCATCCTTGTGACTGTCCTCTTCTGTGCTTTGGATTTCCTTAAAGTACATTCTAGAATGTTGTATCAGTGATCATAAATTTCTCTTGTTTTCATTTTCCTTGGAAGGTCTTTATGTATACACTTGTATATATTTACATATATACATACTCCCCTAACTTGCACAAAAAAGGAAAAAAAATATCCAATATTGAACCTTGTAATGGTATTTATACTGAAGGCAATTATTTTCCTCATGCTACTATTTTTGTATGCTGTTTGTTAAAAAAAGGGAAAAATTGTTTAAGTCCAGCATTTTTCTTCTCCACTTCTGTCCAAATAGGAGGTCAGTGTGGAGTCTGAACTCTTGTTCTCGTGGTTGTAGATAAGTTCGTTTTGGTCTGTCAGTGATCTACTCTGGGATTGAGTGTACTGAAAAAACCCAGGTTGTCCACCAAGTCTCTTACTCACATAGTCCATGGGTAGGTTTGGACTGTGGCCCAAGTGTAGTAAAATTACCAGATCTCTCTGGGAGGAGTTAATGCCTCCTAACAGGAGGAGAGGTGTTGAGGACTCGGGATTTGTGTTCAAACAACAATCCACAGTTGCCTAGCCTTTTGCTAGTTCCTGTAAGAACTCTTCTATACTCAGATGTCGCAGTCCTCACCCCAAATATCACCTGGTTGAACTCCTTTCTTGCCACAATATTCATACTGCCACTGTTTACTGCTTCCTGTTTTTTTTTCCCTGTTTCTATTCTCCTGGTTGATTATGCTCCTTGTCAATTGGGTTCTGTGTTGTCTACCCCACTTCCCGATTTTCACAGCCTGGAATTTGATCTCCCTCAAACCACATATTTGACAGTTACCCTTCGCATGATTTTTTATTTTTCTATCACAGTTACCCTTGCCCTCCACCCAAGCAAACTATTAGGGTGGTGTCTGTTGCCTCCTTGGTGGAACTAAGTGAGGAAGATACTTAAGATGCCTTCCAGCTCCAGTTCTGTTGAAGTTTGTGCCTCCTGAGCTTGAGGTTGAGCTGAGGTGTGTGTGATCTTTTAAAATGGCTCCTATACCCTACCCTTTTAAAATCTAGACTGAGAAGCTGAGAATATCACTGTCATTTGCCTGAAATCCCATTTCCTTTGTGCAATGGCTTTATCTCTTTATAATAGTAAGGTATATACCCACAAGAATATGTTGAATTTTTTCTTGTATCACAAAATTTTCAAGTTTTGTTTCAAGTTACAAGGGAATTTCTCTTTCCTCCCTGAATATCCATCAGTTCAGTGCCACAGTAGGTTATTTCTGTTCCTTTACTTAACTTTCTAAATATCTACATTTCTGGTTTTCATCTGGTAGCTAGCTCACTGGGGTTGCAATCCAGAAGTTTCATACGGTTTCTCTTTCTCCTCACAGAGCTACACACTTCTTGGTTTGGACAAATATCCTGGATCAATTTTGGAGTGTAGGCTGCCTATAATATGTTATCCTTAGGAACCCTAAGTAAAATTTCCATAATATACTTAGGTAGGGTATTTTTATTGCACTGGTTTCAAGTACTTTATTTCTTCTTACAGGGTCCTCCTGGACTTCCTGGATTTCCAGGGACACCAGGTCTTCCTGTATGTATAATCTGGATTTTTAATTTTAAAATCCTTTAAGTTTTGAATATGTAGCCCAATACAGTTCTTTGTTAGCATATGACACCCCTTGATTTCATCCCCAACACTTCAAATAAATAAGTAAATAAACAGTACACTTAAAAAGTAATATGAAACATCTTATGTGTGTGTTATATCCTTTACAAAGGGAATGCCAGGCCATGATGGAGCCCCTGGTCCTCAAGGTATCCCTGGATGCAATGGAACCAAGGTAAGATTCTTTTGACCTAATATTAGGTCGTATCTTTGATAACTGATAGACTTAAAACTTAAAGGAAATCAATTCAATGAATATTGAAACCAAGATTAGTGCCTTCATGTCTTGGACATAGGCTAGATTCTGACTTACTATTTTCAGTACTGTCTATTAAATACCCATAAATTCTTTAAGCATGTCTGATTAGCTAGTATATTGCATTGGGTTAAAGATTATTTACATCCTTATTTGATTTGGTACAAGGTAGGATAAGAATTAAAAAGAATATAATTATGTGTGCTCCAAATATTATATCAGTTATTAAGAGTACTTCTTGGAACCAGGAGTGATGGGCTTTATGTAATCCCAGCACTCAGAGAGGCAAAGATGGGAGAATCAGAGTTCTAGTCCAACCCAAACAATTTAGCAGGATCCTATCTTAATATTTTAAAAAAGCTTGAGATTAGTTCATTATGAACGCCCTGGGTTCAGCCCCCAGTACCACCCTAAAAAAGTAATTTAGGGAACTGTTATTTTTCCTTTTTATAGACAGAGTACAACTTAAATTTTGCAATATTTCATGTTTTCATTTCTTTTTTTATAACTTGGTAAAGCTTTCAGTATAAAACCTGAAATTCTCTTCCATCAGCAAACATAATGGATTTAAAATTTTGAAAAGAGAAACAAAACTTTACATATGGCAAATATTTTTCCCTGACCCACTTTTTTGTCTTTAGTAAACTGAGTTTTAATAAAGTTATAGAGAGCAAGGAAAAAATTAAACAATCTGCTACTTTTCCTACTTATGTATTATAGCTTCAGTTCTTATTCAGTCATTTTATTCCTTCTCTTTTAGGTTAATGCAATATATTATTATTTTCAGTATTTCCTTTTGATGTTTTCTATTTGGCACATGACATCCTATATTTTTCTAACTAAAGGCATATACCAGGTTTTGTATTATGGCACATATTTAAAATAACTTTAACAAACTCTTTAGTGTTACAGTAGCTATATGTCTGATAATACTGTAGTATATTCTTGAAGACAATATAGTTCTTTTTGCTTCAGTATTGTATCAGGCCATGGCGGGTCTTTACCAAAAATAATAGTAGTTACTTTTAAATTTTTGCGTTTGTGAGACTTATTTGTAGTTTTCATTTCACCGAGGAAATGCAGTAATAGGACCAATAGGAATTAATTTGCATGGCAGATTTCATGTTAAAGTGGTTTTTTTTTTTTTTTTTTTTTTTTGAGCTTGAGTTTTTCTATGTAGTTCAGAGTTGTCTTGACCTCACTGTGTAGCTCAGGCTGACCTCATAGTGGACTATACTCTTGTGCCCATTTTGTTTATTTGTTTATGTGTGTTTTTTGTCAGTATGCTTTAAGCAACAAAGAAAGTTTTAAATTTGAAGCCCAAATGTACCTACAATATGTATAGAATGCTGCATGATTGAAAGGATTTATTTCCTTTTGTAAAACAACTGCTTAGCAGATTTAATGATAAATTTTTGGTTTTGGCCACAAATTATCTAAGCAACAAGTTTTTAAAACTTAAATGGATTTACAATCTATACTATCATGTTAGATTACTTTCTTACATTTCTCACTATGTAAGAAAAAAAACCTTAGAATTGGAGCTGCAATGTATGGCTTATTTTTTTTTTTCTGTCTTCTAAATTTGATGTGCAGGCTATTTCCTTGCAGGATCTACTTTCTTCATGTGTAAAAAGTGGTGGTAGGACAAGGGGTACTGACAATAATGCAAGAGCATGAAGCCTTAATAATTTTATTCTTTTAAACTTTCTGACATGATTATTTCTAGGATTACTATAGCACGTAGCTATTTGAAAGGAAGATGCAATGTGGTTCTTCTGCAACATTTTAAGCTTTTGATTTCTAAACCAAATGTCTGTATTATTAAGTGAGAAAAACAGGGTGCTTAGAAATGTAACGATCTGCAATTGCTAGCACTATTGCTATTATTTGTTCTCTTGGTGTTATTAATGCCCTTCTTTCCATCTACCTTTCCCTCTTTGCAAAAAATAATTTGAAATAGTTTACAATCAAAGAAAAAAAACATAATAGTGCAGTTAAAATAAGAATCTATGTAGCACTTAGGCAGAAAATTGGGGCAAATCATTAACTATTAAATGTCATGATAGGAACCTGGTGTGATAGTCTCACAACGGATTTGTCAAAAGAAAATGACTAGGTTAGAATTTTTTTCTTTATTTCTGGTTAAGATGGATGATTAGGGTCAGAAATAGTTTAGTAGGCTAAATCGATATGAAAAGTTGATATTTGAAATAATTGGAAAGTGAAAAATAAATTTTTGGCAATCTGATGTGTTTCAAAATGGCTTTTATAGGAATCTTTTCAATAAATAATTGTTTGTTGGTGTATTCGTTTTGTTGTTGTTGTTATTTCATACTCTTTTATTTTAACTTATTTTAGGGAGAACGTGGATTTCCAGGCAGTCCCGGTTTTCCTGGGTTACAGGGTCCTCCAGTAAGTTGTAAAATTCAAGATCATAATGAACAGAAGAATTAATGGAAGAAGCAGGAGTATAAAATGAGCTTAATACATTTGTGTGGAAGAAAATAGTAGTGAGCTAGAGACAGATTTTTTTTAATAAAAGAAATTCTTAAGATAGCTCTCTCCTGGGTAAGGATTCCATGATATTTAATATAAATCTTGTCTCTAAGTATCCTGAAACACATAATACTCGCAAAACATCCCACATTAGTTTGCTCAGTTTGTATTCTTTTAAGAAAGTGTTATACTCTTACCTCAAATAAATAAAATAATCCACTTTCTTTTTAATATTAGGGAACTCCTGGGATTCCAGGTATGAAGGTAAGAATGTAAATATTTTGAATAATGTATGAGGGAAGGCCAAAGTTTTGATATGATAATGGCTTGGACTTCATTTCAAAATGGATTCTTTTAGATATTGTGCAAATACATACACAGAAGCTCTCCTTAAGCATTCTCTTCTGTTCCTATGACTTTGAGTACATTCTCAATGCTGATATACTTGAAAATGTGTGTATGAGACTTGTTTCTTTTCTGCTTGTGTCATTCTTCATCTTATTACAGTTTGACACAGTTGATTATCTGTTTCAGGAAATATTCTTTTCTATGACACTTTCCCTTCTTGAATCTCTGATTAGTCTTCTGTGAAAATAAGTCGTGCTCTACTCAGCAAGTATCAAGGTGTACTGACCCCTTCTCTATGCCAACAGTATTATTTTTGTTTGCCAACAGCATTATTAATGAACATAATATTAACTAATATAAAATTGTGAATAACTGTATTTATATCTTCAGATCAGACTTTTCTGAGTTAGATGCATGTGTTCAACTGTCTCCTTGACATCTTCACACAAATATCTCCCAGACATTCAAATTAATGCCCATCTGAAATAAAGCTGTTCTTTCCTCTGGTAACTAGTGTCTATAATTTTTGTCACTATATATTATTTACATTTTAAACTGAAAACTTGAAATAGTGTTTATATTTCCCATGCTTTTACACACTTACTCTTTCCATTATACTATGGAATATTATTACGTTTGCCTGTTAAATGTATCTTAACCTCATCCACTTTTCTCACTCTCCTCTGTCACCACACTACTCTTAATATTTCATCTAAAGTACTACAGTAACCTCTTACCTAGCCTTTTCTCACTACAATCCTTAATATTCCACGGGTTAATTCTAAACCATTGAATAATGATCATTTTAAAATGTATATCAATAGTTTAATCTTTCTGCTTTTAAATCTTCAGAGTTCCCACTGTGTGTTTAAAAATAAAATCCTCATTCTTTTGCATCTTTCGTGAGAACTGCATGCACTAGTCTGTGCCTAAATTATAGTCTTATCCTGAACCGCTTTTTCCATGACTCGCTGCTCGTACTAGTCTACAATTAATTATTTAAATGTGCCAAACTCTTAGTTTTGGGGTCATTTCTACAAACTCTACTTGTCACACTTTGCTCCATTGTTACCTGGCTTGCCCCTTATTGTGCTGTAGGTCTCTACCTGAATATTACCTTCGCAGATTGCCTTTCTTTGACTACCCATGATAAATCAATTTTACTCACTCTATCAGGTTGTTGTTCTCCATAGTTCCCTACAGAATATGTTAATATTTCCTTAAATATTATGATCTACATTCCACATTACATTGTTATCCCTATGAAACAGATATATTGTATATTTTATTCATTACTGAATATCCAGACTATAACACAATGTTTGGCAAATAGTTAATAAATATTTGAAAATGAATAACAGAACATATTATAGGCTATTGGTGGTTTATCTGTGGCACACATACCGCAGCAAACTGTATCCTTGAGAAGTCCAGGTTTGCCATGATGGCCATAAGCTCTCAGTACATCTACAGAACTTTCATACATTCTAGCTTCATTTTCATTTTCCTTTGAAAGGTAAATTTACTCATTAAACTACTGAGTTGTTTGTTTTTCACTATACTTATGTGACAGATTGAACTGTCAGAACATTATTTGTGCTCTAAACAATTTTCATATTTAATAACTTATGACATCTATTTGTGTGTGTTTGTGTATGTTTTTTTAGGGAGAACCAGGTAGTATAATTGTGTCATTGTTGCCAGGACCAAAGGGTAACCCGGGATATCCAGGTCCTCCTGGAACACAAGTAAGCATCCAGAGTTTTTCTTGTTTGCTGTATGCTTGAATAAAATCACAGCAACTCTTCAAACCTTAGTACTCTCTGTTTTAGTCATAGAAATCTTACCATGTTTGCTAGACACTTCATGTACCTTCTATCTGTAAATAAAAACTATCTGGACCAGAGAGAGTTTCATTAAACTATGTGTTGTTTTATATTTCTGACCGGTGTTAATAGAAATTTTTGTATTTAGCAAATGTTCATCAACTTATGAAAGTCATAGTATAGATAAATATCTATGCTGTGCAGTACTTCTAACCCTAAAAACATTTACCTCCTGATACATATTGCAACATGAATTAGTACAATATACTAAATTAAAGAAACTATACATCAAACATTACATTTATGTTCACGTTTATATGAAAAACATAGGAATTACAAAATTATAATTACAGCGAACTCTAATTATAGGAAGTGGACTAGTGGGTTTTAGTATCCAGAGGACTTATAACTGATTCTAGAGAGACATGGTCCTGTTTTGGAGAATGTGCAATAATAAAATGAGCACCTATAAACCCAATATAATATTTAAGAATTAGAACACTACAGTTTTGAATCAACCTGTGCTTTTTTAGCAGTCACATTCTTCAGTGTCTCTGTAAGACATTTATCATGCTGAGTTTTCCATTGATTCTTAAAAATAGCTTCTTCTATATACTTATGTTCTTTAGCAACAGAGTATCTCATTTTGCTTTATAAAAAAACAGTTTTTAAATAATTTTTGCAACTTATTTTTCTATTTGATACAAGATCCATCTATATTACTGTAAGTAGTTGTAGTTAGCCATTTTTATGCTCATCTGACTTTCCATTTGTTAATATATTAAAATTTGTTTCATCATAAAATAATCTATGATTTATACCTAGGTATAGAATCACAGGTTTGCAGGGCAGGCGAATTTTCAGTTTGTGAATACCCCAAATAGTAGTCCATAAGGCTTGTATACTATCGCTTGTTTTAGTTATTGTCAGTTCTCTTTTTCTCTTTAATCTTTAAAATTAGACAGGCTTCCTTGAAAGTGATAGCCTTTACCTTTTCATTTCTACTTAATATTTGCATAAAAGACCTACCAATATTTGACTATTTTCATTGCTTTATTTTGTAGAACTTACTTATGTGTTTGTCTTACACTTTTTCTACCATTGTAAAACATAAGCTTTCTGAAAGTTGTATATATTCTGTTTAGTAGAATTCCTGTATAATTATTTAATCTTTCTATTGTTCATAGTTTAAAATTTCACTTATAATACTTACTGAAGAATTACAGGACTGTAAAATAGAATTCTGATGACTACTTAAATTTAAGCTCCATTCAGTTACTTCTTTGTAAGATACAATGAGAGGCTTTAGATTTAGGGGTTTTTTTGTTGTTGTTGCTTGTGTTTCATCTCCCATTCTTTTCTTAATTTACTTATTACAGGGCCCAGCTGGTCCACAGGGAATACCTGGGCCAATTGGTCCCCCAGGACCACCAGGTTTGTTGGTAAGCTTCTTCTGTAATTTTTTTCTTCTTTTCTTTCTGACTCCTTTCACAAATATTAATATTACTTATAATATCTGAAACTATAATTGATTTTTAATATTTATAACTATAATTTTGTTAGCTAATGCTGGTTTATGATGTGGTAAACAACATGTATTCTACATAAAAGACAAGATTTAACATGAAATTTTTTTTTCAGTGTTGGGGATCAAGTCCAGTGCCTTTAGTATGCTAAGCATTCGCTCTATTACTGGGATACATCTCCAACCTTAAAATATTTTTTTGGTTGATTCTTGGTATGTTGTCAGTTTTGGCCATCTTCAGAAAATCTTCAAAGGCAATCTTCTCATAAAATCATCAAGTTTCTTAATGAAATGTATTTCTTCAAAGTGTTATTTGATTAAGAATAAAAACAGCTTTACTAAAAAATATCATCATGAAGTAAACAATCACTCTACGCAACTACTTTTAAGTTAGCAGTACACAATATATTAACTTCTGTTAGCTTCCTACTATTTTCTTTGAAATTCTTTATCATTTCTATCCTTTTTGTGTTTCATTTTGTTTTTAAAATAAAAAAAAGTCACTCTGCAATGGGATCATAAATATGCATACCCTAGCAAAGAAACAAAAATTTCCAAAGAACATAATTGTACAGTCAGCTCTCTTACTCGCTCTATGGTCTTTCATATTTTCTACCCTAATAAATTCTAAATCTTTTTATCCTGCAATAGTTTTTAATTCAAGTCACATTTTAGACTTAGACTTTTGTTGTTGCCCTTTTAAGGTCAAGAAAATTGTGTGTCAGTCAAAATAGTTTCTCATATATCACTCTACCTGTCATACACTTAGGTGCCAACTTTCATTTTACTGTACCTTAATAGATTGTATAATTTCTTTTTGCGGTTATTGGTTATCTACTCCTGAATGAAGGAAATAATGCTTGGTGAACACTACAAGAATCTGTCAGGGAATAATGCTTGGTGAACACTGCAAGGATCTGTCAGAAAAAAATAGTGATTTTTGCTGTCCTAGAATTCCTTGGGAAAAGATTAAAAAAAAAAAAACCTTTGTACTTTGTTTAGTCTTCTTCTTCTTCTTCTTCTTCTTCTTCTTCTTCTTCTTCTGCTGCTGCTGCTGCTGCTGCTGCTGCTGCTGCTGCTGCTGCTGCTGCTTCTGCTTTTGCTTCTGCTTCTGCTTCTGCTTCTTCTTTTTAACCGGGAGTCAAACTCAGAACTTTACACTTGTCAGGCAGGTACCCTGCCTACTGAGTTATACTCCTGCCCCTTTGTTTTAAAAACTCTGGTTTTAAAAACAAAAACAACACTCTGCACTGTGACAGTTTTCCCTAGCATGCTGTTTTAGCACTGCTTTTCCCTGGATATGTCTGTAAGCTTTGTGGCCTCTCAACCAATTCTTTCTATACTTCTAAATGTTCCTTGAGTTAACCATAATTTAGCAGATGAAGCAAAATCTTAGAAATGCCACCATGGTATGAGACATAAATATATCCCTTGAGATAAGTAGTGATATACTTGTACAGACAAATGCATATGTAATTTTCAGGCATTGAAGCATTCTCAAAAACATAAAAAGAGACTGCAGAAAAATAAAACTGGATTTAAAAAATTGACACGTGCTTTTAAAAACTAAAATTCATTGTTTTGCGGTATCAAAATTTACCCATAATTCTGATAACAGAAAAAGGATGTTTTTGACCTTAATTTTCTTATTGAATTTTTTTTGGTCACTGGTAATATTTCTCTCTTTTACCTATCCTAACTTTTTGCCCCTGCCCACTCCTGCTCTGTCACCAGAATTTTTGATATTTATTTATTTTGTTTTAATCAGCTTAAATGTGTGTCTCTAACTAAAAAGCAATGAGGGAAAATAAACCAGGAATATTTTTTTTTGCCTTATTGGGAACTGCACAGGAGGTAAGTGCATTACCACTGAGCCACATCCCCAGCCATAAAAACATTTTTAAAGGATTCTTTCAACTCTTACTTTTTCATGAAACAAAATAATTTAAAAATAAATACAGTAATATAGCATTTTCTCCTTTTCTGTGTCTTAGGGCCCTCCTGGCCCACCAGGACCTCCAGGACCAAAGGTAATTTTCTTTTTCTTTGTGTCTTTATTCACTGTAGATTCCTCTGTTTATTGTCAGTGAGATTTTAAACTGAAACCTCTCTCTTCAGGGCAATATGGGCTTGAATTTTCAGGGACCCAAAGGTGAAAAGGTGAGTAGGTAGTTGTTCAACCCTTAGATTTCTTCGTTCTGTCATATTCATTCAAAGTATCTTTTTCCTTCCTTTGCTTCTTACAGTCAACATAGTGTGCATGTTATATTATTGTCGGTAATAATTTATTAACTATCACTGTTTTATCTTAAAAATAGGGTGAGCAAGGTCTTCAGGGCCCCCCTGGACCACCTGGTCAGATCAGCGAACAGAAAAGACCGATTGATGTAGAATTTCAAAAAGGAGATCAGGTGAGTAAGTAGCGAGGAAAGTAATTAAATTATTGTTATGAATATGTTAATTAAATTAATTGTGATAATCATTTTGCAATGTTTGTGTATATCAAAATATCACAATGTACATCTTAAATACATACAATGCTATTTGTTAAATATAATTCAATAAAACTGGAAAAATAAAATAAGTTAGCAGATAAAGTTTATGCTATCTGTATTCCATTAAAACACATTATAAACTAGAATATGGTTAAATGTGAGTGTATTTTATAAATAATAGGGATTTGGGATAATTAAAAATTTTAAATAGATTTATTGGGATACATGTATATATCATACAATCTATCTACTTTATTATACAATGCATTTTATATATTCATAGGATACTGAAACTGTTGCCACAATCTAATTTTAGGATATTCTCATCTGCTGTCTCCAAAAATTATACACCTATCAATTGTCTCTCCCTATTTCTCCTCAAAATTTCCAATCTTGTGTGATTACTATCTAATTCTTGGTTCTGTAGATTTGTCTATTCTGTTTGTTTTATGTAATTGAAACATACACTGTCTGGGCTTTTCCATCTGGCTTTCATTTAGTGTAACGATTTTGGGTTCAATCATTTTATAGTGTGTGTCAGTACTTCATTTCCTTGAGTACTAATCCATTGTGTGGATAGTATATATTTTGTTTTGCACTCATCAATTGGCAGCATTTGGATTATTTCCTTTTGGGCTATTTGAATAATACGTTCATGTGTAAAAGTCGGTCATGGAAATATAGATCAGGTTTTGTGCACTTTTGTTTCATTTAAATGCTGATAAGAAAGTTAAAAATAAAGGAAAATTGTATTGAAATTCTACGATCAATACAGATTGAACCATTTCATTCTTTGCCTAAATGTATATGTGCAGTGAAAGCCCCAAAATCTTCAAGTTTTGAAGTTTCTGTAAAACATTGTGTAAGAATAAAAAATATAGATATTTTCATTTACAATATTGTCTCATTATTTGCCTCAAAGCATGATTGCCATATAACATACTAGAAATTAGGTGAAGCAACCAAAGAGGGCTCTAAATTAATTTGCCTAGGAAATTTCAACTTTGAATTAGGAGCATTCTATTATTTTTGGTTATACTGTATGAATCTTCAGTTAACTTTGCTAAGACTGGTCCTAGCTAGTTCTAGTTGTTACAGTAATAATGCAAGTTTGAATACTAACTTTGCCTCCTTCTCCCTACAACCATATAGGGACTTCCTGGCGACCCAGGGTCTCCTGGCCCTCCAGGGACGCGTGGTCCTCCAGTAAGTCACCCAAGACAATTTAGCATTATTTTATGTAAACTGACACTGATAGTATCCCAAGGACCAATATGAAATTACTTTTTGTATGTGCAGGGTCCTCCAGGTGGTGTGAAAGGTGAGAAGGGTGAGCAAGGAGAACCAGGCAAAAGAGTAAGTTTTATGACTACCAAACTTTGTACAAAATTTTGTAATATGTCCATATTTGTGTGTTTTATTAATTTTTAATTTAATAATTAATTTTTAATTAAATTCTGTTTCATTACCTGAAAATATCCCTACTGACACACCTATTTTTTATACTATGGAAGTGTAGAATGCTTATTTAATATAGTCCAGGGCAAGAATAAAACTTGTTATATTCTTTAATCTTATTTCCTAGTGACTTTTATGTTATTACTCTCTTATTTCTTTGTATCCTATAGGGTAAACCAGGAAAAGATGGAGAGAATGGCCAACCAGGCATTCCAGTGAGTAGCTGAGGTTCTTTCTGCTCACTAAAGCTGACAATAGTTGTAGATACGGATTAAAAGCATGATGGAAAAAAGTTTAGAATTTGGAAGTAGCTTAAATGAATGAAAGGTTTTCAAGGACAGATACAAAATTTGAAGAAATTTGAAGGCTATTATAAAGCAGAGATTTCTTAACAAGAGAGAAGATTAGAAACACTGAAATGAGAAAATTGAAAAAAATTGAAAAAATTATTTTTCAAAATAATTTTAACTAAACAGGCAATCCTCAACTTACAAAATCTAGTTTGTAAAAAGGCTGAAAGCATGTAAAATAACAAGAGACAAATTTAGAGCCTCAGTCCCAGGTTTATTTGAAACAACTGGTCTTTGTTTTATGATTAAAGCAGCAAATGATATTCAACTGTTGCTTCTGATTGTTTTAATTCATTCCTCAGGGGTATGGAGAGAGGCTGTTGTCTATTTGCATTGGGAGAGCCAAGTCAGAACAAATAATGATAGCTTTGCAAGTTGGTTCTTCTTGCAAATTGCCAGATAGTTCAAATAATGACGTTTTTGCAGGAATTAAACTTGAAATGAGCTCCAGTCCTTTTCTTTGTTCTACCATTGCTGCTAGGCTGCAGGTTTCTACCTTAATTGTGAGCTATTTGTTGCCTAGGCTACAGCAGAACTGAAGGGGCAGGTATAGCTATACAAGTGAAAAATGTCATAAAGGTCTTGTTCTTACCATGATTTAACCTTAAAAACCCCAAACAAATAAAATGCTCTTTAGATTGCTGCCAACTTTGGTTAATTTCTCAAATTTTAAAAAGAAGCTGATTTTGATGGACTATTTGTGTCAGTATTCTCATTGTTTCTGTTATAGAGGAAAGGAGTTTTGAAAGTCCTTGCTCTGTCTCTTGTGCTGACATCAACTTGTTCTTTTGTTTTAAAGGGTTTACCTGGTGATACTGGTTACCCTGGTGAACCAGGAAAGGATGGTGAGAAGGTATGTATTTTGATGCTTCGTAGTGTCTAGTTTTGTTCTACTTGACATCATCTTTTTATCTCTCAAGGTAGAGATATAGCTGAAAAAAATCTTACAAATAGCTAACTAGTTTCTGTATTTAAAACATGCTTTCTTTATCCATCTTTTGGTGTCATTTCTTTTTCTTTTATACTACATCCCTTAAAGTTTCTTTCATTATTTTAAATCACAGTTCATATGATGGAAATACACAAAAGACTTTTTAACTTTTCCATTTCCATTGTGAATTCACTGCCTTTGTTTGCACATATATTGATAAAACTCTTGTTTTCCATAGAGAGGATTCAGCACCATGTTAATGAGCTCCTCCTCGTAGAGAGGCTTATAACTGGGAATTTAGTATATGTCTTTTAACATTTATATTCTGTATGCAATCATTGTCTGTAAGTCTGTGCATAATTGTCATTGCTTTCATTAGACCAGTCCTGACGGACCAAGATCATTTAGTTACCTATTTTAAAAGTGATTTTGAAAGATTGTATGAAACATACAGCTATCTCATTTTTAACATGTCACAAAATATCAAGTCCTTCAAGCTGTCTGGTATCTAATTGCTTTGTATCAGAAACAAAAATAAAACTTTTTTTTCAAGCAAGAAGGGAAAGGCGTTATAAACTTGAATGTACATAAAGAGCCTGTATTTTCACTGTGGTTTATTACATAAAATACATTTTTTTTTACATAAAAGGCTCAATTAGTTAAAAGGAGCCATAACATTTCTTCTTAAGAAGTGCAAACTTATAAGGCAGAGTAATTCTTCAAAAAGAGAAATATATAGATGAAAATTTTATTTTAACAAGTCTAGAACCTGAACAGAAGTGTTAGAGAAATGTCTATACTAGAGTCTCGGTTAGCTGACTAACGGTCGAATATTGTGTTCTTCATGCTGTTTCAGCTATTAGTCGAGGATAACATTTTTATCTGACTTTGTTTTTTGTTAGCTTCTCATAAACTCACAGAAGGAATCATAATTTATTAGCTGTTCCTGGTGATAAGCCTATCGCTTCTAAAATATCTGTAACTAATAGAAATAGCATTAAATTTATGCTCTTCACTAATTTAGAAAAAGAATAAAAATATATGTAAAAAATATTATGGTTTCAACAGATTCTAGTGATACTATTTTTTCATTGTTTTCTATATAGAGCATTTGTAGAAAACATACAAATTCTAAAATCAAAGAATGTTACAAGTATAAGTCTGGTCCTAAGCCTTTATTCTTTGTGTATAAGCAGAGAATTTAAATAATTTAGTAAAAAGTATACAGTTAGTAAACATAAGTCAATATCACATGTCTTCCTATGTCTAACCTAGTGTTGTTTCATGATTTCATGTTATATTTCTCATTTGGTGTATTTTATTACTGATTTCTAAGTATTTTTTTGTGAGCTTTTCTCTTAAAGTCTTGAGGAAATTGATATTTTCATGTGGTTTTTTTAAACTAACATTTTACACTTGTATTGAATAGGGCCAAAAAGGTGACATTGGACCCCCTGGGCCTCCAGGATTTGTAAGTCTTTTTTTTAAATCTGCATTTGTCAAATTGAATTCTGCATTATCACTTTTGTGCCTAATTATGTGCTGCCTACTTTTTTCCTCAGAATAAAAACTTCAAGTCATTACCAGTTTTTACTGCTTACAAATATTTCCATCTAAAAATTTCATTAGTGTAGACCTCGCGGTCTTTGTAACTGTTCTATCTGATTAATACTTCTCCACGGTAAAGATCTAAAATAATGGCTGTGTATTGTTTTACATTGTGATTGCACATCATTTCTCAAATAACCAGCAGGTGGTGCAAGTGTAATTTATAAAGGTTTAATTAAAAAAAAATCTTGATGTGGAGAGAGCGGTCCTGTACCTCTGCAGAACACAGGAGAAAGATAAAACTGCGTAAAATTGGCCCTAATAGATTTTGTCAATTTGTAATTATCTGACTCACAATTCTTTCATTCTTGAATGTATGCGTTTTTAAGGATTCAATAATAATTGTAGGAAATGTTTTATGATATAATAATTGAGGAGTTTACAGATTTTTCTGTCATGTCTGAATTCTCCATGAAATTTAATTCAATATATTGTCACTGTTACTAAAAGTAAAATGTCACTGCTGATGTTTGACAGTGTTTATTTCTTTGGTTTAAATTTGTTAAGATTCTAGAGTTTAGGCTAGACTATGCATTGAAGCCACAGCAATGTGGGTGTCATAAAACCTAATCTATATGTCCAGACATTTTAATAACATTGTTTGTCCGAGATGTCTCACTTGTCACACTTAGAAATATACTAAATCTATAGAGGATATACTTAGGGTTTTAGACAATTTTTATTCTCATTCATTTTAAAATCAGAATTTTAGTTTTTCAGACTGTAATCTCTTTAGAAAATAAGATACTAAAATTTTGATGAGTATTAGAACAAATGGAAATTTTGAGAGTTAAGTCCTATCCAGAAGCTCACATTAACTTTTGAGATATTGTCTCAAACTTTTATTCTCCTTATGTTAATATTTTTATATCCAAAAAATTAAGATAAAGTATCACACTTTACTATTAGATATCAGTTTTTACCTCAGGCTGACAATGTCTTAAATCTGAAATTTATTTACCTTGATAAGTTTATGGAATAATTTTATAAAATTAATTTTAAACAGTTATTTCATATGAATTTTTTATAATGCAATTAAATCTTGAATTCTAAGGAGACATAAGAAAGAAGATGATGTATGATCAGTTGGTTGTATTTAAACAATGTAATCTCATGGAAAAGATGATTTTCTAAAAGAAAAAAGAACATGAGTCGACAGCAAAATATTGAGGGAAACCATTGCAAATATTTGGAATGGCATATGCAGAGACAGAGATAAGTATATGAAAGTTGCATGAAGTGATTCTAATAGACAGAATTCACTTTGATAAAAATTTATTACTAGCAAAAATAAGAGATGATGTTGAGAGGTATTGGAAATGAAAAATGGCCTGAAAGAGTCTAGCATTATAAGTTGCATCTGATATGGTAACAAATAGTAAGCAACTTAGAATACTTAAGCAGCATATTTAACACAGAAAAATTGGGTTTTTAAGACATCATATCTTAGCTGCAGATTTGGATTCAAAGGAACAAACTTGAAAGTGCATCTGTTAGTCCAAGTAAATTGAGGATATTACGTGGTAAAAGAAATGAACAGGGAAATTTGGAAAGACATTTTTGGTAAAAAAAAAAAAAGTTCTCAAGCTTTAAATTATTGGAATGAATTGAATGTGACTACAAGAAGAGACAACAAAAAATACTATTCACTGTAAGTCTGGGGCTAGCAAGGTGATAACATTGTTACTAATAGCAGTCATTTCCTAAATTAGTTGGAGGATAAAAGTGATAAGGAGTGGAACTCAATCTGTATCATAGTCTTAATGCTTTTATACCTGAATACTTTATGAAAATGGGACATTTTAATCGGGGATATAGCTTAGTGACATAAGTACCTGCCTGGCAAGTGCAAGGTCCTGAGTGTGATAACCAGTATTAAACAACTCCAAAATATTACGTTCATAGGTAACTCCCAGATAACTTATAGGAGAACAATAGTCTTCTTTTTTGAGTATTTTTATTTTATTCATTCATAATACAGGTAATTCCTAGACCTGGGACTGGTATTACTATAGGAGAAAAAGGAAATATTGGATTACCTGGCTTACCTGGAGAAAAAGGAGAGCGAGGGTTTCCTGGAATACAGGGTCCACCTGGCCTTCCTGGTCTTCCAGGTAAAAGACACTGTACTTGCTTTGTGCAGAGACATCAATACTAATCTGTGTGTATACTTCATCATACTAGTTCGAGGATGAGAATGACAATGGAAGACCCAATACTTTTTAATTGTCTGATTCTTCCCAGTTTGTAGTATATCTTTTTCACCAGATTCCTCACTTGTATGTTCTATAAAACCCATTTATATAGGGCCCTTTTATCCTAAGAATATCATTTCTAATTCATTATTAATTATACAAAAAATGATATGCTGCAATACATGAATCAACACACTTTTCATGCTACTAAGGAATGAGATGTTAATGCCTCTTTTTGCAACAGTTCCTGTGTTAAAAAATAGTAAGAAGCAGTATCTACTTAGAATTATAGAAACATCTGACTACAAATCTCCATGGTGATTTTGCTGTGCAGTAACATCCTAAAACTCAATACAAAATTGTACATCATCCACTTTGATGATACATAGTAAAGTGTAATATTGCTAATCTGGCTATATGTTGAACATTGGGTTTTTTTCCTAGCATGTTTATTTAGATGAACTCTCTCTGAAATGGGCTTTTATTTGGAATTTATTTAAAGTCATCTGGTACACCTCCTTGCACCTATACTTACTCAATAAATTATGGTTCATTTCCTTTCAAAATATGTGGCAAATACAGTATTAGCATGATAAAATGAGTGATACTCAGTAATCCCCCAGAAAAAGACAATGAATGTGTAGTCCTTTATGATCTAAATATGCATTTTGGATTTCTAATCTCCAAATGGTGGAATGGAAGATTGAAATAAGGAATTCTTCCAGGATACCATAAAAATGTTAAGGATTTGAGAACTATGAAAGAAAAATTGATATGTAAAAGTAAATATAGAAGCTCCTGAAAGCATCGTGAGAGAGTTTAAGGAGAGAATGGGACACGAAGCAATGTTTAAAAACAGCTAATGGCTGAAAAAGACCAAACACCAACTGAAAGACACTAAGATAAAATTGGGATAAAATACATATTTACAATACATAATACATATATCTAAAGCAAATAAAGAGCAAAATTGAAAATAAAACTGCAAAGATGTATTAGGTAAATGAAAAGAAATTCAGCTTAGCAATTCTAATATAGTATGCAATAGAATTAGTGAAGGTACATTAGACAAGTATTTCATGTATATAAATTATGCCAAAATGATATAAATGTCATGAAATTCTATGCATCTAACAAACATCTTTGAATATATAAAGTGAAAACTGATAAACTATGAGGGGCAAATTGGCAAATACGTACCATATTAACCAGGTGAAAAGTAAGGGCATTAAATAAGTTGAGCAATAAAATCAAGTTATCTGTATGAGAGAGATAAACTTTGTTAGAAATGGAATGTACACATTATTTTCAAACATACATAAAATATTTACAGAAATTGTGCGATAGACTAGAAAAACTATAAATATGTTAATTTTTGTGACTACAGTGAAGTTGATCATATGACAACAACAAAGCCAACTATCCTTATATTTTTTATGTTTAAGATCACAGTTATATAGAGAGATAACAAGGAAACAGAAATGGAAAAGACAAGCTACTGCATACTGAGCAACACTGAAAGTACTTCGTATAAAAACTTACCAAATATATCCAAAGTAATACCCTTAATTTATCACAAAACTAAAAATACTGAAAATAAATAAAGAACTGAAAGTCTAGTTAGGTAGTCAGCTGCTTAGCATGCACAAGGCCTTAGGTTCTATCCCAGCACCACAAAATAATAAAATAAATAAGCTAAGTTTAATGCATGTGCATATAAATGCCCCCCCACAAGCCAAGAAGGTATAAGGGGAAACTTGATAAAGAGATAAAATAAATTGATATTTAATAGGGGAAATGAAGATGATTTTGAAATGAATAAAAATTGACAAATGTAATCGAGATAAAAATGAAAGTTGGGCAAGGTAGTATGTTCCTATAATCCCAGCTACTCAGGAGAATAAAGCAGGAAGATCATAAGTTTGATGCCAACCTAGGCATCTTATCAAATTATCTCAAAGGAAACAATTAAAAAAGATTTGGTATGCAGGTCAGTGGTGTATTGACCCTGGACTCAACTTCCAGTACTGAGAAACAAATAGACAGACACAGAGAGACAGAACCAGACAGACGGAGAATAATTTTAGTTAAATAAAAGGGATATTAATATTATTAAAATAAAAATTTTAAGTTATAAGAAAATATAATTATATTAAAATGTCTGAAATTCCAAATGAAATATGTATTTATCATAAACATAAAACAAATTAATAAAATTGCCTTAAGAAGATAGGAAATATAGGAGGATGAATTACCATAGATTTTGAAATGTTAAAATTATCCATGAAAAAGCATTAGCTGTATAGTTTTATGAGTGAATTTTACCATAGTGTCGAAGAACAGATAATTAGCATGTTTTCATTCATTTCAGAAAATATTTAAAAAGAGGATAGCTAACTTAATAATGCTGAAATCAAGCATCCAGGAGATGTGATCGCAATACAGTAATTCAGTATAGTTTGGGAACATTGAGATGACAACCTTAAACATTAATAAGATCAATACAGAAGTATATTAAATAATAGAGCATTATGACCAAGTAGATTTTAACACAGTTTGCAAGATTGGTTCAATTTTACTATAATTGACTATATAGCAATATACAGGAGAACAAACCAGTGGAGGCAAAGAATTTAACAGTAGTAATAAAGAAACCATAAATAAACCCAACCAAAAATATATGAATTCTTTCCATAATTTTGTAGGATATTATATAATATAAAATTATAAAATATAGAGATGTATATTCTATTATTTCATGTAAGAAATAAATTTTAGAAATAGTTGATCATATCAAACATTATGTTGAATTTATCACATTCTAAACTCAGTGAACTTTTAAAAGAGAAACTGAAAATCTGATTCTAACATTAATTTGGAAGAGCAAATATATAGGTATAATAAAGATTGTTTTACAAATGGCAAATATGTATGCCATTTCCTTACCAGCTTTGAAAACATGACACTAGTAACTAAAAAGTGTGTTCAGGAATTGACAGAGGGACTAAAGAATGTTTAGAAAGAAAGCAATTTTTATATCGAAATTCTGAAATATTTCTTTTTAAATTACTAGTAACTTTTTATTTCTATAAATTATAGAGCATTGTCTTAAACAGTAAGCAGAGAATTATTAAGAATTTCCCAAAATAATAAAACTACCTCAAATTATTTATTGCCCTCAAATTGTTAGTCACACAATTTAAATTTTTTTCCTTTCAGATATTGATTCTCATAGCAAAAAAAGAATATAGACAACATTAACTTAAAGATCTTTTGAGTACTTAGTATTGCATTGTGAACTAAGGCAATATCCCTAAAATAAGATCATTTTGATCATTTTGGATTAATTTTTTTTCTTTATCTTAGGGACTGCAGTTGTGGGTCCTCCAGGGCCCCGTGGATTTCCTGGAGAAAGAGGCCAGAAAGGTGATGAAGGGCCACCTGGTATTTCTATTCCTGGATCTCCTGGACTTGATGGACAGCCTGGACCTCCTGGGCTTCCAGGACCTCCTGGCCCCCCAGGCCCTCATATTCCTCCTGGTAAGCTGCATTGTTCTCTTGTTAAATTTTGCTGTTTTTGTTTATTTCACTTATAAGTGAATGTTAGCTGAAGATTCACACCATTATTTATTTCTCTTTATTTCTAAGATTTTCTATTGTTGCTTCTACTTTTAGGTTTTTGTAATTCTTTGATGTTTAAATTTGCCCGTCCAATATTGATTGTTATCAACAATATTATATTTTCCTTTTTCTTACAGGTAGTTATATATCTACAGAAAACAAACTAAAAATAGATTTTTTTCTAGCCTGTCATGCTTTCTTTAGGCTTAGTCTTTTGGACATGTTGCAGTTAACTTGCCATCCTTTCTTTATCTAATCCCAGATGATGAGACATGTAAACCAGGCCCTCCAGGTCCTCCAGGAACTCCAGGTGATAAAGGACTTCCAGGAGAACAAGGACTAAAAGGTTTGCTACCCAAAGATATTGACTTGTTTTTGAAAACCTCAGCAAAATCCTCTGCATTCATATTTCTACCTTAGTCACTCTCATGTTTATAGCCCAAACCGCCTCATGAACAATAGTGTACATATTCATAATCTTGATTTCATGAATCCCATTTTCTGATTGCATATTTTCTATACTGTAGCTCACTACTTCTAATAACTTATTTGAACACCACTTGAGTCCTGAGACCTACCAAATTTGACTTGTCTTAACATTTTGATATCCTTTCATGCATGTTTTTTATTTTACAAAGCAAAAAATGGATAAAATGATACAGAATTTCAAAACAAAATAGGAAATTAACACTAGTTCATATATTTATTGTTATCTTCAAAGTAGTTGCTAAGATTACAAAATTTAGGCATAAAAATGATCAAACAATAAAAATAAAAACTGTTCTTTTTTATTAAGTAACAGAGATTAGTAGTATAGTTATCTATCTTGCATATATATACATGCACACATACATATGTATGATATCCTTTCATTCTTCTTAGCCTAGCTTAAATTACATGATCAATCTTTGCACTTATTTTCATTCTTAAGGCTGTGACTCCTTTGCCTTTCTCTCACTTTATGATACTCACTTGGAACTAAAGCACAGCATAGTTTAGGTAGTTTCAAACTTCTACCTCTTCTAAGCCTAAACCTCACCTTTGAAAAGTTACACCTCTACTTCTATTCTTATTTCAAAATGTCTACACTCATTTCTCCTTCAGTTAAACAATTAAAATAGTAATAAGAATGTTCACCGACTACTTCCACCAAATTTACTTATTTGCATTTATGTCCATGTAAGACTTTACTATGTTTGCTATTGCTTTTATCAAGTCAGGTGCTTTATTTGTACCGTAGATTCTCTTCTCTCTTGCTTCTCCAAGGAATTTGCTTCAAAATTTATTGTCACACTTACATCACCAATTTCCCCCTTTCTACTGGATCATCCCCTGCAACATATAAATATGCCTTATACATCCATCTAAGAAAATCCACAATGTTTAATTCCACTTCACCTGTTAGTTACTGCTCCATCCTTCTGCTTCCCTTTATGATAAAGCTAAGCAAAAATTTTCTACTCAATATTACTTAATATTTTTACTTTTAACTAACCTATAAAAACAAAGATATTACAGATATTAATGCGGTACCATGTAACACCTGCTATATGTATATATTAAGGAATATTAACAGATTTAATACAGTTATCTCCCCCAACATGTATCATTCCTTTTGTTGAAACCTTTCAAAGTACATAATACATTATTGTCATCTGTAGTCAACATAATGTGCAATTGTACTTCAGAGCTTCTTGCTCCTATCTTGGTGTAACTTAGCACTCATTGATTAATATCCTCCCTTTACCATAGTATCTTTGGTAACTGCTATTTTACTCTTAATTTCTGTCAGATTACGCATTTAACGTATTCCTTTTTTTAATTCCATGTATGAGTGAGATCATGTGGTACTTGTCTTTCTGTGCTTGGCTAGTTCACATAACAAAATTGCATACTATTTATGACTGAATACTATTCCATAGTGTAACTGTACCACATTTTCTTTATCCATCATCTGTTGATGACACTTAGGTTGTTTACATTTCTTGGCTATTGTGAATGGTGCTACTGGGACATGAGACTGCAGAAGACTATTTGACTTACTGATTTCATTTCCTTTGGATTTATACTCACTAGTGGGCTTGCTGGATCTTATGGTAGTTCTATTTTTAATTTATGAAGGACTCTCCTTACTTTGTTCCATAATTGCTACCTTATTTATATTTCCACCAACAGTGCACAACAATTCCATTTTTATACAGCCTTACCTGCAATTACTTACTTTTTTATTTGCCTCTGGCATTGAAGTGAAGTAATACTTCATTATAGTTTTGATTTACATATTGCTGATAATTGGTGATTTTAAGTATATTTCACAATATTGTTGATCATTTGTATGTCTTCTTTTGAGAATGTCTGTTTAGACCTATCTTCATTTTTAAATCAAGTTATTTGTTTGGCAGATTTGGTTGTTGTTCTTTGTTTTTGTTTTTGTTATTGCTGATTGCTATTGAGTTTTTTTAGTTCTTTATATATTCTGGATATTAATTCCTTGTCAAATGTATGTATTCCAAATAATTTCCACCATTTTTAAATTATCTCTACACACTATTTTTTTATATAAATCCTTTTTAGTTTTATGTAGTCATATTTGTATAATTTTGCTTTTGTCTCCTGTTATTTTGGAGTCTTATGCAAAACCTCCTTGCCTCTTTCAATGTTTTGAAACACTTACCCTATTTTCTTTTTCTTTCTTCATAATTCCAAGCCTTATAATTAAGTCTTTAATCAATTTTAATTAGATTTTTACAACTGGTTGAAGGTTAGGGATCAAGTTTCATTCTTTTGCATATAGATATTAACTTTCCCATCACCATTCATTGGAATAACTGTCTTTTCTCCAGTGTATCCTTTGCACGTTCACTGAAAATCAGTTGTCAGTAAATACATGGGTTTATAACTAGGGCTTCAATTTTGTTCTGTTGGTCTATATGTCTGTTTATATGCCAGCAGAATGCTGTTTTGAATACTAAAGCTTTGTAGTATATTTTAAAGTCAGATTGCATAAGGCCTCTACCTTTGTTCTGTTTTCCTCAAAATTTCTTTGCATACTCAGTATTTCTGTATAAATTCAAGGTTTTTTTCTCTACTTCTGTGAAAGAATGCCATAGTTATTTGGATAGGAACTGCAATAAATCTGCAAACTGCTTTGGATAATAGATATGGATATGTTAACAATATTGATTCCTCCAAGTAATGAACATGAGTTGTCTTTCCACTTTTTGTGTCCTCTTCAATTAACTTCATCATTGTTACATAATTTTCACTGTTGAAATCTTTCACTTCTTTGGTTAAGTTAATATTTAGGGTTTTTATTTTTTGTAGCTATTGTAAGTGGCATTGCTTTCTTGATTTCTATTTCTAATAATTTTCTAATGACATATACCACTGTTGATTTTTGTATGCTGATTTGTATCTTCAATCTTTGCTGAATTCTTTTATTAGATCTAATGCTTTTTGGTGAAGTTCTCTCTATATAAGCTCGAGTTGTCTGCAAACAAGAAGAGTTTAATGACTTCTTTTCCAATTCAGGTACCATTTATTTCTTTCTCTTTTTTAATTTCTCTGGATAAGACTTCCATAACTATGTTAAAGATAGAGGTGGAAGTAGGCATCATTGTTTCAGATCTCAGAATGATTTCAACACTTAGATAGGTTTCACCTTCTTTTCCATTCAACATAATGTTATCCTTTGACTTATTATGAATGGCCATAATTGTGTTAAGATCCTTCCATTGTATGAGTAATCTTTTTAAGACTTTTTATCATGAAAACATGTTCCATTTCATTAAATGCCTTTTCTACATCAGTTGATATGAGCATATTATTTTTCTCTTTTATTCTTTAGATATAGTATATCACAGTTATTTATTTGTGCATATCAAACTCTTTGCATCTCTGGAATGAATCCCACTTGATCACGGTGAATAATCTTTTCAGTGTACTGTTGGATTTGGTTTTCTAATATTTTATTGAGAATTTTTCTGTCTACATTCAATAAGGATTTTGCTTTGTGTACATAGATGTATGTCACAAACATATCCTACACATATCCCATGTATTTAAACCAAAATGCAGAACATATCCTGGACCACTGAAGACTCCTTTTGCTTCCCATTAGTATCCCAAATGATAGCCAGTATTTTGTCTACTATCGTACATTAGATTGCATAATCTTGAAGTTTGTGTAAATGGAATAATATGATATGAATTCTTGTATGTAGTTTTTTTTGCTAAGCATTTTACCATGAGATAAATCTATGCTTTCATTTTAACTATATTTTCACTGCGTTTCATTATTTTATTGTACAAATGTATCTAAATATCCATTCTAATGTCACTGAACACATAGTCTGAAGCTATTCTGAATAAAACTACCACAAACATTTTTGACATGTTGGTGGCACATAAGCTCTCATATACCTAAGAATAGCATTGCTGGGTTATAGATTAGGTATAGATTTTCTTTTGTAGACAACATCAAATTATTTCCCAAAATGATACTGTATACATTCCCCCAATGACGCATTGATGATAAGCTTTTTTGCAAGTTTCTATACACTCTTTTGTAAAGTGCTTGTGTTCTCTCTATTTTTAATTTGGTAATTTGATAACCATTTAGGACTACCCTCTGCCATTCTGTGATTTTTTTATTTGTATTTTGTTAAATAGTTACTACTAATTAGTGAAATAATATTTATTAATATTGCTTTATGGGCAGTGCTGTTCATACCCTGCTTTACAAATGTTTCCTCATCAAAGACCTAATGATATTCCTCTTAAGTTTTCTCCTAGATGCATTATAATTTTACCTTCCACATCTATTTTATTTTAATTTTGTTGTATTGGGTATTTAACCTAAGACCTTCACACTAAGCTACATCCCATCTTTTCTTTCACTATTTTTTTTTTAATTTTGAAACAGGACCGGTTAAGGCACTCAGTTCCCCAGGCTAGATTCAAACTTTTTATCTTCCTGCCTCATGCTTCAAACAGCTGAGGTTATAGATGTGAGCCACTCACAATCTTCAATTAATTTTTGTGTGTAGTTCAAGCATGGATCAAAGTTCATTTTCTCCTTACAGATCTCCAAATGACTTGGTATCATAGCATAAAAACCATCAGTTTTCCACTGAGCTGTGTTAGTATTTTTTGTTGTAAATCATGTGACCACATATATGTGACCAATATATGTGATTATTTCTGACTTCCCTATTCTGTTTTGTTTTGTTATTTGACTCTCTTTGTACTAATACCAGACTGTCTTAACTGTGGCTTTATATAAGTTTTGGATGTTCTAGAGTCTTTGTATTTTGTAAGCATGTTAGAAATATCTAGTGAACTTTTTAATTTTAAAGTGCATTGGATTCAGTCTTATTCCTCTTCTGTAAACTCATTCATCCAGCGTCATGACTTTTAACGTATTTGGTTTGCCAATGAGTTCCAAATTTATGCTTCCTATCCAAATATAATGTTTCCCTTAGTTTTGCATGTGATCTGCTCACACATCATTTTGAGCTTGACATTGATCAAGTTATAGTTCTGATTTATGACACTTCCTATCCCATAATTACTCCATTCATATCTTTCCCTTTTTACTTGATAAAGGAGGCTACTGTAAGTTTCTAATTGCTTAGGCTATAAACTTTAAAGTTGTCTTTGATTGCCTTCTTCCTTTGTATTCTATATTATGATCCACGGAAACATCCAATTGTCTCTACTTTCAAGTATGTCTGGAGTATCTTCAATACTGTAACTTTGGGGTGACAGCATCATCTCTCTCATATCTCTCTGCGCCCATATCCTGTTAAAGAGTTACCCACTTTCAATCCTTGAATTTAGAACCATAACATAGCTGCCAGTTGTACTATTATTGGAGGGGGAGATGCTGCGGATTGAACTGAGAGCTTTTATACTGAGCTACATCCCAGTCTTTTAAAAACTTATTTATTTTTATTATTTTTTTGAATTTTAATTTCATTTTTTTTATTTTTGAGACACTCTCATTAAGTCACTGAATTGCCCATGGTGGACTTGAATATATCTCCTGTTTCAGCTGACCAGATTCATGGAGTTACAGCCTTATGCCAACATACCCAGCTTCTGTTTAAATTCTTCTAGTAGCTTCTCATTTCACTCACATTAAATGTTACAGTCTATGCCCACTGATGGCAAAACAATTGCATGTGTGCCACAGTGGATGGTTTGTATCATTGAAAGCTCTAAAATGCTTGCCCTCATTGTTCTATAACATCACCTATACGATTTTTCTCAGGGTAAGCTACTTCTTAAAAACTGCTACCTTGCTGATTTGGTTCTACACCTTCATTTTGCTCCAGCAGTCTAGTCTGATTGCAGTTCTTTGTATATTCCAAACATGGCTATTATTTTTGTCTGGATACTCTATGTTCATTAGGTACGTGTTATGTCCTTCAACCTTTTTGTCATATATCATATTATCAGTGAAGTTCATCCTGACCACTCTATCTAAAATTGCAAACTTTGAGACTGAGATGTAGTACTGTGGTATTGTTTGCCTTACTTCTATGAAGCATTGAGTTAAATCCTCAGTATCACGAAAAATAAAAATATAAATGAATGAATAAATCATTAAATAAAATTGCATTTTTCCTTCTACGCACCCATTCCTAGCACACTCAGTCTCACAAATCCAGCTATATTTTTCCCATAAATATATTTTAACATATTGGATATGTTTTGTGATATTAAAATGTTTAATATATAATTTGTTATTTAATGCCTTCATTGTTTTTTGTGCATTTCTACCCATAGATATTGAACTCTATGAAGACAAGGATTTTTGTCTGACTGTCAGTGTACCACAGAGACCTAGAACAGTTCTTCCCACACAGTACAGATTTAGTACATACTTAGCAAATGAATAGACGGCAGACATAGTCTTCTCTAGCTATGCTGTTACATAGGAATCCTATCTCTTTGTGGCTAAACTTCATAAAACCTAACTAAAGAATATTTAAGTACCTTTTTAAGTAATATTTGTTTTTTAATTACTTTTACCAGGTGACAAAGGTGACACCTGCTTCAACTGTATTGGAACTGGTATTTCAGGCCATCCAGGCCGACCTGGTTTGCCAGGTGTCCCTGGCCCCCCAGGTAAAACATTTGGCCTAAGGGTAATTTTTTCTACAAAAAACTTTCTTGGCTAGATTTTTGTAAGTTCATAATTTTAAAATGTTGTCAGCTTTTCACTTTAGAGCCAGTCATTCATATCTATAAGTAATTAAATATGAATTACATATTTTTTATGAAATAAATGATGCTCTTATTTCTAATAATTGAAACTACCAATGTGTTCTAATAAAGCACTGTGAAGTATTCTAGGAAACGTGTCTTTTCTATTTTCTATATGGAAGGAAAAATAACGTATAGAGTCAGACTTCTTTCTTCTAGAACACTGTGTGGTGGAGGGGGGTAAGAGTTCATAATGCCTGGCCCCTGATTATAATTCTCAGTGTCACAGCTTCTAGTCACGAGGAATATATGACATGTGTCATTATGGAAAGGGTTTTCTATCGTAGTTTACCAACCTGTTGCCATTCATTTTTCACTATATACTACCCTTCTCACTTCCTAATCAAACCCATATTGACTACGTCAGACCCACAACTCTTTTATTGAATCGCCTCATGGTACATTCCTGCATAATTTTCCCTTGAGATCACACTTTATGTCTGAATCAAGGCTGAGAAAAGACATTAGACCTCTTAGCTATCTTGTGTGTATACCAAGAATACAAGTTCAAACAGAGCTTGGATATACTTGCATCAAGTCTTATAGCTGCCACTAGAAGTTAGTAATCTGGCGTTTTATATCTGATCTAATGGTTTTCAAATTTGGAGACACATCAGAATCATCTTGAGGACTTAAAACCGGGGTAGCTGGCCCTACCAGCAAAGCTTCTGATCCAGTAGATGAGTATTGGGCAATTCTTAGCCTAAGAACATTTCTAAATAGTAAGCAAGTATTGATGATGCAGCTGGTCCAACAATTCATTGATAATGTTTTCTCCAGATTTTGAACACCAAACGTTTCTTATAAACCAAGTTTTAGGAAAACCAACCAAAAATAAAACCTAATAAGGATGTAGGAAAAAGGCATAAATCAAAATAAAGGCATACAGACATTTTCATTATCTTCTTCTACCCTGGGCAGTGGAATGTTCTAGCTCTGGGAAAGGAAGGATTATTTTGAAGTTAAAAATACATGAATGTATTTTTACAATACATTGTATATAAAATAAAATTTATTTTTTAAAAGGATGGTTTCCTCATTTTGAGAACACAAAACAGGAAAATGAAATTGTAAAATGAATGGGATAGAATGGGAATATCTTATTTTGAAATTTGATTTCCTGATTTTTATAAAAGTTTTGTCGGAGGTTCAAGTTCCAAGCTCATATTTTGTGTGTGTGTGTGTGTGTGTGTGTGTGTGTGTGTGTGTGTTCATGCTAGGGTCTCTTGGTTTCCCTGGGCAGAAGGGTGAAAAAGGAGAGACGGGAGAAACTGGCTCAAAAGGATTACCAGTAAGTTTCAAGTATATATTTTGAATCTATATGTAGTGAGAAACCATGTATGCTTTGATGTTCCTTTATGGAGATAAATAAAATAGATGGATATATGTTATATATATACACATAGAAATGTATATATGTATATATGCTTTAGTTACATTGTAATTTAATGTATAATTCACTTTATTTATTGACTTTCCCAGATTCACTTGCATACTTCATGTGATTCATTACTTGGTAAATCAAAAAAGTCAGAGGAAGCCATGTACAAGTCTATGTTCACTCATGGATAGATACATATACTTTAATTGAACTGTATTTTAATTTATAATTCATTTATTCACTGACTCTTCCTGACTCACATACATACGTTGCATGATTCATTACTTTATGCACCAAATGTTACTGGGTAGAGTGGTGGGAAAACTAAAAAAAAAAGTTAGAAAAAATCTGATCTTCTTTTTCACTTTCTTCTCTTTCTTTCCCAACAGGGCATACCAGGAGCTCCAGGTGCTCCAGGACTTCCTGGAACTAAAGGGGAACCTGGTGACGTCTTCACTTTCCCAGGAATGAAGGGTGAAAAAGGAGAGTTGGGTGCCCCTGGAGCTCCAGGGCTTCCTGGTTTACCCGGCACTCCTGGACAGGATGGATTGCCAGGTCTTCCTGGGCCCAAAGGAGAACCTGTGAGTTAGTCTGATACTCTTGGTATTACAATGTCGTATTGTCACTTAGAAAGGTTTCCTAAGCTCTGAGGATGTTGCTCAGTTAAAGAGTACATGCTAAGCATATATGAGATCCTGAGTTCAATGTTCCGTTCTGAAAAAAAAAAAATTATAAATTAAAACTAAAGATGAGCATGGCGCTAAGATTCATACCCAATCATAGACAAACAAAAATAGTAATGTACACTGTTATTATGTGGGGTTTCTACACTTTTAGTTGATTTGTAAATTTCTTTAACCAGGCATAAATGTGTGCATCTATAATCGCAATGCCTGAAAGGCTGAGACAGGAAGATAGTAAGTTTGAGATCACCATGGGCTATATAGCAAGTTAATACATGGTGAGAACCCATCTCAAAAAAACTTAAAAAAATATGTAAACTTGTTAAAAGATTACTGTATTGTATTTAGTAACATTGACTTAGACTATTTGGGCAGAAGGTTAAGATGCTTATAAATTTATCTAAGATTCACCTTTTCTTATTCTATACACATATCTGTTTATTTACACCTGACAAGCAGAAATCTAACTTGATTTTTATATATAATAATAATTTTATAAAATAGTTTTAAATAGATGTCCTTGTTAAATGTACCATGGAGCCACCAATTAGACATTAATGAACAATCTCCTTTTTGTACAAGATGTAGATCCAGATATTTAGGTGGGAAGTATATTTTATATTATTTAAACTGTAACCTTCTTGACTTATATTAGATTATAAGACTCATGAGAAGTGAGATTTGTGTTCACTTATATTCTCAGCTACATCATTAGCACTTGGCCCATAAAAGGAGCTCAAAAATACTTGTTAATGGAGGGAATGACTACATGACATGATCACACATTTCAAACCATAATACCACATATTTACATAATTTTTCAAAAAATTTTTAGATTTTTGTAGTACATAGTGATTACTTTCATTGCATGGAGTATGTAAACACATTTTAATTCTTTTTACTATCCCATCCTCTCCATATGGTCTCTTTTCCATCTCTAGATTCTTTTCCCATTTGTAAAAGATATATCTTCCTGATTCCTATTATCAATCATATATGTTGCTCTTTAAATTATTTATACTTAAGTACAGTGTATACCCAGATTATTTATGTAAGACAATCCATGTGATAATTGAGCTTGTGTATCTAATTTATTTCATTTAACATCATGGTTTCAAGATGTATCCTTCTCCTACAAATGACTTAACTTTATCTTTCTAAATGGAGGAATAGTACTCTACTATATACATCTATATCTATATAGATATTAGATATAGATATAGATATTTCTTTATTCATTCAACTGTATACGGACATCTAGACAACTTTCCCCACATAATAGATATAGATATTTCTTTATCCATTCAACTGTATATGGACATCTAGACAACTTTCCAGATTTATCTATTGTGAGTTGTGCTGCTTATACATGTGTTTACATGTAGCACTGTAATATGATGCTTTTAACTTTTTCAGGAAGATTTCTGCAAAAGAAGTTGCCAGGTCAAATGGAATGTCTAGTCTTAATTTTTTGAAGAACCTCTGCACTAATCTTCATAGTGATTATACTAGTTTATATAGCTTTTAAGAATTGTTCATGTTTCTGTTGTTTAACAACTTACAATCAGTATACCAATCTACCTATAGTTGTTAAATCAATGTGTTTCTTTGTCCAACATTTCACTTTTCAGGGTGGAATTGTCTTTAAGGGTGAAAGAGGTCCCCCTGGGAACCCAGGTTTGCCAGGTCTTCCAGGGAATATGGGACCAATGGGCCCTGTTGGTTTTGGCCCTCCTGGTCCGGTAGGTGAAAAAGGCATACAAGGTGTTGCAGGAAATCCAGGCCAGCCAGGAATGCCAGGTAAGTTGGATATGTCTGTTTTGTTTTACATTTGGGGCTTAAAAGCAGAAATTAGTTGCCATTTGACAATCTTAGCTTCCTTTCCTGAGAGATGTAATTTTCTGAACATTTTTGTTGGATCTGGAATTTTTGAACTTCTTAACAAGATAATACACATTCTGAATGTTTTTAAGACAGAGTCTCCCTATGTAGTTCAGGTTAGCTTTGAACTTGTTCATGTAGCCCAGGCTGATCTCAAATTTGTGGCAATCCTCCTGCCCCAGCCTCTTGAGTGCTGGAATTACAGGCATTCTCCACCATACCTGGAACGTTTTGTTTTTAAAGAAGTGTTTTGCTTCAATTTTTCGGTGTTTCTTTCTTTTTTTATTTTATTTTAAAGAGGGTAAAATAAGACAACAGAACAAAGCAGATCAGAAGAAATTAATGTAAGTGACACAGATTTCAAAGCAAGACAACAGGAGATTAACAGTGGCAACATAATGTCTACTATTTTCTTGTAGATAATCATCTACATCATCACACAAAATGAGTTCATGCAAAATAAAATAGTATAAAAATGATGAAAACAGAGTAATGAAGGCATTACAGGTCTTCAAAACCAGACAATAGGGAAATCAACAATGGCTACCATAATGTCTCTTGTTCTCTTCAATGGCTGTCCATATCTTCATGTATATTGAAATTAAGTAATACAAAACAGACTAAGACCACTCTGAACAAAGAATAAAAGCATTACTGGATTTCACAGCAAGATGATAGGAAATCAGCAATAGATACCATAGTGTCTTTTATTCAAAGTAACTTTGCATTTCATCACACATAGTACAATCGATTCTCATAAACTGTTTAGGAGAAGTTCTAGGCAAGTAAAAGCCTCTACATGTACACATATTCTTTCTGCATTAGAGAGAAAAAAAAAAACAAAAAACAAATTACTAGAAGCACAAAAAACAAAAAGACAAATAACAATAGCAAAGAGCCCAAAACAATGATGATATAGGCCTTCAAAACAAGGTTGTAGGAATGTATTTAAGCTTGTGATTTTGCATGGTGCTCTTGAAAAGAGTGCCTCAGATCACCAGACACAAACATGCAAAATTGTTCCAGTGCAATGAATGTTAACTGTTTTGTGCCAAGAACTAATATAATTTGTAGCATAATCATCTTAGCTATCTTAAGTGTGTTTTTACGAACTTACACATTGTTTTATTTTACCTTGTTTTTGTCCCTCATTTTCCCTGAGCTCTAAATTTTTTCCCCATTGAACCGATTTTTATTTTTTCACTGTAGTTATTGAGGATTTTTATATCTTATGTACTCTTGCCATTTCTTACACTAGGGAGACTGTATGGTATTCACACATGTGAATTTGATTTATTTTACATATGAGTAAGGTCTCAAGTCGCATCCACTTATAAATATCTCAATGTGATCATTCTTTTTAGCTGAGTAGTACTCTATTGTATAAAAGTACCACACGTTTTTATCCATTCCTCAGTTGATGGGCATTTGGGTTGTTTCCAAGATCTGACTGTTACAAATTGTGCTGCTATAAATATGGGTGCACATATATCACTGAGTTTGTTTTCAGTTCTTCTGGAAATATGCCCAGAAATGGAATAGCAGGATCAAGTGGGACTTACAACACAAGCATTTTGAGGAAGATTCAGACTGACCTTCACAGTGGTTGCACCATTCTGCACTCACAAACAGTGCAGAAGAGTTCATTTTTCACCGCATCCTCTCCAGGATTTGTTCTTGGTAGTTTCTTAATCCTGGCCATTCTTTCTGGAGTGAGATTGAATCTCAGTGTTGTTTTAATTTGTATTTCTCTAATAACCAATGATACTGAACGTTTTTTCATATATTTATTTACCATTTGTATTTTTTTATCTGCAAACTGTGTATGCATCTCAGAAACCCAGTTTTGAATTGGGTCTTTGAAATTGAGAATCTGATTTTTTTTTTTTTTTTAGTTCTTTATATGTTCAAGACAGAAGTCCTTTGTCCGAGGGACAATTCACTAAGATTTTTTCAAAATTCATAGGTTTACTTTTTACTCTGTTTGATATTTCTTTTGACATACAAAAACATTTTAGTAAGACGAGATTCCAGTTGTTGATTCTGGGAAACATTTCCCACACAATTTGCTTCTGGTTCACGAATTCTCTGCCTACCTCTATGTCTTCAAGATTTCTATTTACTTTGTCTTCCAGCAGATTTAGTGTTTCTGTTTTAATATTTAGATTTCTGATCCATTTTGACTTTAGTTTAGTACATGATAATAGCCATGGGTCTAGTTTTAGTTTTTGCATATGGAGAACCAGTTTTTCCAGCACCATTTATTAAAGGACTATCTTTCCTCTAGTGAATGTGTTTAGCCCCTTTATCTTTTTTTAAATTTATTACTTTATTTGTTAATATTAAGAAGAAAAGGTAAAACAAATTTTCACAAAAAAATAATGAAAAAGTAACAATTGTTGATAAATTACACAACATTATCTTTAGTCACTCAAGTACAAAATATGGGCATAAAAATTACTTCAATCAATATTAGCACAACCTTTCCTATTCAGTGAACTAAGTGACACTAATGGTATAACTAACTTGCATTTTTTTCTTTTCCCTTCTATCCTTTCTCTTTTCCCCTATCTTAGTTTCTTCTTTTTATTGAACAGTTTCCTTACATTTCACAGTGACTATTGTATATTTTGAACCTTATGGTTTTACATATGTCACTGTGGTGTGATGTTTTTCAATCCTTCTGGGAAGATACACAGAAGGGGAATGCCGGGGTTGAATGGGACCTCTAATCCTAATTTTTTGAGGAATCTCCACACTGATTTCCACAGTGTTTGTACTAATCTACTCTCTAACCAACAGTTGTAAAGGGTTTCTTTTTCCCTACAGAACCAGGAGCATTTTTTATTGGTTGATATATTTTTTTAAAAAACATTAAATGATTTTTTAATGAATAAGGGAGAGGATGACATAAAAGGGGGCATAACAGCATAACAATACAGGTTAAAGCATAACACTTTCAGCAACCTAGTGCTGAAATTTCACCTTATTGAAGATAAGGTGGCTGAGTGTGTTTGTAGCTCTGTCTTCTAATATATTCCTTTGACCTTCAGTTCTGTTTTTCTTCTGGTACCATGCTGAATTTGTTACAGTAGCTTTGTAGTATAACTTCAAGTCAGGAATTGTGATGTCTCCTGCCTTGCCTTTGTTGTTTAGAATTGCCTTTGCTATTCTATGACTTTCTGATTCCAGATGAGTTTTAGGAAAGATTTCTCTAGATATGTCAGGTATGCTATTGGTATTTTGATTGGAAATGCATTAAATGTGTATAATTATTTTGAGAAATGGCTATTTTCATAACATTTGTTCTTCCTATCCATGAACAAGGAATGTATTTGCATTTTCTGACATCCTCTCCCATTTCCCTTTTCAGTTATTATAATTTTCCCTTAATAGATCTTTACTTCCTTTGTTAGATTGTTTCCTAAGTATTTCATTTTTTGGATGCTATTTTGAAGAGTGTGGCTACTCTTATTTCTCTCAGTGAGTTTGTGGGTTTTTTTAATAGGAATGGTATTGATTTTTGGCTTTTTAATAGGAATGGTAGTGAGTGTTGGCTTTGAGTCCAGCTACATTACTGAATTTAGTTATAATACCTAGGAGTCTTTGAATAGAGTTTTGGTGATCCTCTATGTAGGGTAACATGTCATTTGCAAATAATGTTAATTTAAATTCTTGTTTTCCTATCCTTATTCATTTTATTTCTCTCTCTTGTCTAATTGCTCTGGCTAGGATTTCCAGCATTATATTGAATAGAAGTGGTGATAATGAATATCCTTGTCTTGTTCTTAATTTTAGAATGAAAGCTTTCAGTTTTTGGCATTTAATATCATTCTGGATGTTGATTTGTCACAGATGGCTTTTAACATATTGAAGTAAAGACTATCTGATTTTCTGTAGGATTCTTATCATGAATGAGTATTGAACCTTATGAAAAGATTTTATGCATCTATAGAAATGATCGTGTGACTCTTATTTTTGGCTCCATTGATATGGTGGATTACATTTTTGATTTATACATGTTGAACCATCCGTGCATTCCTGCGATAAATCCCTCTTGATTGTGGTCTATTTTTTTTTTTTGTCTTTTTCCTTTTTATTGGTACCAGGGATCGAACTCAGGACTGCCTGCTTGCAAGGCAGGAGCTTATGCCGCTGAGCTAAATCCCCAGTCAATATAATTTTCTTAATGATTTGCTGCATTCTGTTTGCCAGTATTTTATTGAGAAATTTTGCATCTGTGTTCATTAGGAGGATTGGCCTGTAGTTTGCTATTTATTGGGTCTTTCTCTGGTTTTGGTATTAGAGTAATACTTCCTTCTAGGAATCAGTTAGGGAGAAATACTTCCCTTTCAATTTCTTTAAAGAGTTTGAGGAATGTTGGAATTAATTAAGTCTTCTTTGAATATCTTACATAATTCTGCAGTGAATCCATCAGGATCTGTGCTTTTCTTTCGTGGTAATGTAATAATTACATTTTCAATTATATTAATTAAAATTTATTTATTCAGCAGTTTTACATCTTGATCCAGCTGTGGACATTCATGATTCTAGGAATATGTCCATTTCTTCTGCATTGTCAAATCAATGAGAGTAGAGTTTTTCAAAGTAGGTATTTATGATCTTCTGTTTTTTCTCAACAGTCTGTATTGATTCGCCCTTTAAATTCCTTATTGCATGAATCTGAGATTTTTCTTTATTTTTTAAAATAAAGTTGGGTAGGGTGTTATACATTTTATTTATTTTTTCAAAGAACCAAGTCTTTGATTCATGATTCTTTGTATTGTTTTCTTTGACTCTGTTACATTGATTTCAGCTCTGATCTTTATAATTTCCTTCCCTTTTTTGGCTTTGGGTTTGACTTTCTCTTCTACTAGATGTTTGAGGTGTAGTATCAGGTTGTTTATTTGTGTTCGTTCTGTTTCCTGCTGTGGAAATTCACCGCAATAAATTTTCTACTGATGATTGCTTTCATTGCATCCAACAGATTCTGGTAAGTTGTATTTGTATTTTCTTTTGATTGTAGATATTGCCTAATTCCTTCTGTGACCCACTGATAGCTCAGGAATGTACTATTCAATTTCCATGTGTCTGTGGGTTTTTGCAGTTTCTTTTGTCATTAATTTCTAGTTTCATCGTGCTATGATCCTATAACATGCATGGGATAATTTCAGTTCTTTTGCATTTAATTAAGCATGTTCTGTGATATAGTATATGGCCTATTTTAGACAATGTCCAATGTGCTGCTGAGAAGAGTGTATATTCTCATGTTGTTGGGTGGGACACTCTGTACACACCCACTAAGTCCATTTGTTCACAGGTGTAATTCAGTTTTGTTATTGCTTTGCTGATTTTCTGTCTAGTTGATCTGTCTCTTTGTGTCAATGAGGTGTTAAGGTCTCTTGTTATAGTTGTATTTTTGCTTATTTGATTTTGCATTGCTCTTACTATTTGTTTTGTATAGCTGGGTGCTCCCAAATATGGTGCATATGTATTTAAGATTGTTATTTCTTCCTCTTGAAATTTTCCCTTAACTAGTATGTAGAGACCTTTACCTCTTTTGATCATTTGTGGTTTGAATTTCACATTGTCCTCAAACAGAATAGTTACCCCTGATTTTCTTTGTTCCTGATGCATGAAGTATTATTTTCCATCCTTTGACTTTCAGTCTATGAGTTTTCTTTTGGGTTAGATGGGTTTCTTGTATACAGCATATGGTTAGATATTGTTTCTTGACCCATTCTTTCAGTCTGGTTTTTTAATTGTTGAATTGGCACCATTTACATTAATGGTTATAACTGATATATATTAGTTTATTTTTTACCTGTTATTTTTCTGCTGTTGATTGTTTATCTTTGTTCTCTGTTTGCCTTGCTTAGTGTTTTTTTCCTATGTCTATCTAGAATGTCTTTCAGTATTCTTTGCAAGATTGGTTTGGTGGTCATAAAGTTCTTCAGCTGCTTTTTGCCATGGAAGTGTCTTATTTCTTTATTAATTTTGAAGGACAGTTTTGTAGCAACCATCATTCTGGGTTGGAAGTCTTTTTGCTTTAGGATCTGAAATACTTCACTCCATGCTCTTCTTGATTTCATTTTTTGGGTTGAGAAGTCTGCTGTGATTCTGATAGGCTGTGATTCTTCCCAGATATCCAACATAACAACAAAATATTAAAACATAAGAACATATTAAAACATAAGAACAAAATAATAAAAGCTGTTAGAGAAAAGAGACAGATCACCTATAAAGAATCACAGCCTACCACTCCCATATTCAGAATGCTAATTTCTCAGATATATGGATTCCTAAAATCCAGTCAAGTTGACTTTTAAAATTAACCATCATAGATTCACAATCATGGAAGATATTAAGCCAATAATCTATTTTTCTTTTAAATTTCACCCTCCTCTTTGATGTCTTCGTGGAATATATAGTGTGAGATGGTTTTTTCTTGCAGAATTTTATTATTCTGAATTTTCAAAAGATGTTTGATGATTCCTCTTTTTTACGTTTTTAATTCAAAGAGATCTTTAGTAGAGTAAATATTTCACATTTAGCATTGGCTCATTGTTGTTCTCAGGCCCTAAAGGTGATCCAGGTCAGACCATAACCCAGCCAGGAAAGCCTGGCCTGCCTGGAAACCGAGGTAGAGATGGTGAAGTAGGTCTTCCGGGTAAGTAAATTTATCTCAAAACATCTTCACCACTTGTTGATTTCTTTCTTTGAAAGTCCTCTGTTTGAAAATTGTTTTTTCCTAGGTGACCCTGGGCTCCCAGGCCAACCAGGTGTGCCAGGAATACCTGGTAGCAAAGGAGAACCAGGTATTCCTGGAATCGGGCTTCCTGGACCACCTGGTCCCAAAGGTATGTTGGACTGATTAATGAGTGGTAGCTGATTAGTATGATGGTGTTTGATTGAAGACAAGTATTTTGGTTTTTTTTTTCTGAGTGCTATAAATAATCTAAATGAAAATTCACAAAATGTATATACTTTAAGGATCTTAATGTAAAACAATTTTATCATAAAATATCTCAAATGCACATTTGCAAAGTTGATTTATGAGGTATCAATACTTCTTTGGAGTTACTGAATTTTGCTATTACTCTTATATTCTCTGATTTAGAACAGTTCCTGGTACTCAGTAAGCACTCAATAGATATTTGTGAATTAATGGATTGTGCTAAATAGAAAATGGATTTACTGTATACCTATATCCAATGTTTTATTCTAAGTAAAAATTCTCTTAATTTAGTGAAATTTTATAGGCTGTTTCTTCAGTTATGTTTTATTTCTCTCGAATGTATTTTCATAAATGGCGTGGGTGACATTTGTGTAAGGAGAGTAATTAAACATGTCATCATTCATTTATGCCAGATTCTCTCAAAAGTGTCAGATTTGGCCTGACATGGTGCTGCATGCTGGTAATCCCAGCACTCTGGGAAGTTGATGTAGGGGGATGCAAGATTTAAGTTGCTTGGACAACTTCATGAAGGGACTGGGGATGAAGCTTAGTGTGAAGGTGCTCAGTTCAATCTCCAGTACCACAGAAAGGTATAGGGTTTGGTTTCATGTGTGTGTAATATCTACAGTTGCTTTTAGCTCATTTCCAGTGGTATATGGTAGACATTTCATCATTCTACATTAGTCAGCTTTCCCATTACTGAGACATAATACATGATGCCCACAACTAAAAGCAGGGAGAGTTTAATTTAGCTCACAGATTTAATCGATTCAGTACATGATTGTATGGAAACAAGACTCAAACCTCATAGCATAAAATATGACATAGCAAATGTGCTTCATATATGGAAGCTGAGAAACAACGTAAGCAAATCACATCAGAGAAGGAGATAGGTACCAGCTATAATACTGAGGTCATGCTTCCATGACCCACCCAGTCGCACACAGAAGCATCCTCCACTAATCGCTTGGACAACTCTCAAGCCTATCACATTGACAATCAAACGTAATCATCTCACACAGTGTAACCAACTGTAAGTAGAAGAGAAGTCATGTGTTTTTGTATGGAATCTATTCCTTATGCTTATTTCTGATTTATTATGCAATGGTTGCTTTTATTCAGAAGAGCATAACTTTTGCAGACATTCCTTCTATGTGGATAGAAAAGGATCACAAGATGAGAGAAAATATCAGCTATCTGTAATGCTTGATCCTAAGTAGCCATACAAAATGCAATTGCTCTTTTATCATCTTACATAGTAATTAAGCATAGGGTAAGTGGAGAATGTGGGTTGAAGAATTTAGATACATTTCTTAAAGTCTTCTCTTTCTTGTTTTACAGGTTTTCCAGGAGTTCCAGGACCTCCTGGAGTACCTGGGATCCCTGGAAGAACTGGTCAAGAAGGCCCACCTGGGCCTCCAGGCTTTCCAGGGCCAAAGGTCTGGTACATTTTAAATTATTCCTTCTCATTTTTCTAGCCCCGTTATTTTTTGTGGTCCTGAATCTTTTAACTTAGACGTTGTCCCAAGTCTTTGCTATATAGATAAAATTTAACAGATTATGTTTTCATTTAAAATTATTTAATCTCAAAATGTCTTTAATAATCCAAGAGATCATAATTAGATAGAAAAAGAGTTTTTAATCTTGTTTTTCAATAGCTAATTATTCAGTTAGATGTGGTAATATAAACATTAGCTTCCCCTGAACTCCTCTATAGAATCACTGTAACATTTCATCTCTGTCCTTGCTTGTGTGATGATTGATTGAACCAGTGATGAATGTATCAAGACCTTCCTAAATTGTCTCTCTCTGTGCCAGTTCTAACACTGATACATACTGCAGATAACTGATATTGACTTTTATGTACTACTACTACTAATAAATAGTTCTGTATTTATTTTCCATTCTTTTTATTTTATCTTACCTAATTTCAAGCTTTCCTCGATCAGTTTCAGGAAAATGTTTTGGAGTGTAATTATCTTAGTTACCCCATTTATTTATTTATTTTATTTATTGTTTTTTAGAGATGGAATTTCACTATATAGTTCAAGCTGGCCTTGAACTCTGTAGCCCAGGCTAGTCTTGAACTTCATTGGACCTCCTGCCTCAGCCTCCCGAGTGCAGGGATTACAAGCATGTGTCACCACACCTACCTTGCTTTTTCCCCATCCTTTATGTGTCCCTGAATTTTTTGTGTCCTTAGTTAATTGAATTCCCTGGGTTGAATAATTATTGCTTCTTTTCCATAGGAAAATCATCAATCATGCTCCCAGCTCTTATGGGAAAATCATTTCTCAATTCATTGTTTTTCTTACATTTTCAACTAAATACAAAATTGAAAGGAGTAATACAGTGAAATTTTGTATGTCCATCACCCAGGTGCAAAACTATTAAGATTTTACCTTACTTGCCATTCCTTTTTTGTCACTTAAGTATTTTAACACAAACCTTAAAATTATGCCATTTTCCAACTGCTTTAGTATTCCTATACAACTAAGTGTGCATTTTATACAACATTAAAAAGGCAAAATCGCACTTGAGTCAAATTAAAAATCATCTTTTCAGTTTAGCTAATACTTAGTCTGTAATATTTCTTAATTTAGGTAGTATATTGTTAAATTTTTTTCTCTCTTAGTTGTCTCTTATTCTAAAAACAGTCCAACTTATTTAATTTGTTTTCCTAAGCTCTGTTTCTTATCCCTTAAGGTGTTCTCTCTAATATACTTGTTATCTTCTATTGAATTATCCTGCCCTTCTGTCCATGGGAGAAAAAATAGTATTACCTTGTACTTGCGGCTTTAAATTCTTCATAGTAAACATTAAGCACAAGGAAAGTCATAGGAGTCTTTATTGTGTTTTGTCATGTGTATGCCTAAGGGAGAGCCAGGATTTGGGTTACCTGGGCCACCTGGGCCACCAGGACTCCCAGGTTTCAAAGGAACACTTGGTCCAAAAGGTGATCGTGGTTTCCCAGGACTTCCAGGTCCTCCAGGACACACTGGCTTGGATGGTCTACCTGGACCAAAAGGTATGGAGACTATTGCTACTTTTAACTTTTACAGAAATTGAAACCTTTGGGAAAGCTTGTGGGTGATAAGCTCAATTAGCTGGGAAGCTCATGCTACCATTATGTCACTGCTACACTCATTCTTTATCATTCAGTGACTGTGTTTGTCTTTTATTGGATATGTAATACAAAGATGCACATATAAAAGTAACAATGAGAAGCATTATTTTCTTTCTATCCTAGTATATCCACTTTTAAGTTTCTTATTTATCATTACAGTATTTCTTTTTGAATAAAAATACTAGTCAGTACACACACACACACACACACACACACACACATATATATATATAATTCCCTTATAGTTATATATATATATATATATATATATATATATATATATATGCTTTTCTTAAAAAAATAAGGATAAGCTATAACCTTCTGGTCTTTTTGTATTTTGGTTATTTCACTTAACTTTGTATCTTAGAGATCACTCAACATTAGTGCATAAAAATCTTTATTTAGAAAAACAACTATCTACCAGCTGAGCATGGTGGCGAATGCCTATAATTTTTGCACTTGGGAGGCTGAGGCAGGAGAATCACCACAAAATTAAAGTCAGCCTGGGCTACATAATGAGTTCAAGGACAGCCTGAACTACATAGTGAGACCTTGTCTCTAGCCATCCCTCCCAAGCCATAGTGTTGAATTGCATGAATATGTTTCGGTCTATTTTACCAATTGCTAGTTCACAATATGGATTTTTGACCAATCATATCACAAATAATACCACAGAGAATAATCTTTCATACACATTGTTTCAGATATTTACAGGTACAATAGTAGAATGAAGTAATGAAAGTGGATTTCTTATGTAAAGGGTAAATGTATCCTTAATTATTCAGACTTATTATTTCTATTTGCATCATTTTATACTCTCACCAGCAATGTATGAATGTTCTCATTTCCAAAAAGCCTTGCTAAGTGGGTATATTGAAAAACTCTTGGATTTTTGTTAGCTTGATGGAAATAAGCAGGTTTCTTAGTATAGTTTAATTTTTACTGTGAAAAATTTCAAATATACTGAAAAAATAATTGTACAATGAACAGTTACATAAATTCTAAGGTTAATAGTTTGCTTTTCAATGTATTTTTAAAATTTCTTTTATATGAACCAGGGATAGTTCAATACTAGAGCACCTGTTTAATATATTCAAGGCACTGTATTCAATCCTCAGCACCAGAAAAAACATTCTCGTGTACTGCAAAGTATAAAAAAAAAATTATAATGACTACTATATATATATATATATATACTCACCACTGATATTCTGCTGTAATATTTTACTATACATTCTTTGCCATATATCTATTCATATGTCTGTTCATTGCTCTATTCATGGATCTCCTTTTTAATGCATTTCAAAATAAATTGCAACAACAGTACAGTTCTCCCTAAGTATTTCAGGATTCATATCACAAATGCAGGTCTGTATCTTTTTAAATATAGAACTCATATTAAATGAGATGCACATATCTGAAGTGTACATTTGTTGAATTTTGACATATGCTAACACTTCTGTAACCCAAACTAATGTCACCATATCACCCCAAGGCTACGGATGTAGATAGGTAAAAGAACGCTTGCCTAGCATTTAAAAGGTCTTGGGTTCATTCCCCAACATGAAGGAATAAAACAAAAAGAAAAAGAAAAGAGAGCAAGAGAGAAAAACAAAGTGAGAGGAAGAAAAGAACAAAAGCGAGAGAAAATTACATCATTTCAGAATATTGCTTTATGGTCTTTTCAAGTCACTCTGTAACCCAGTGTCCACAGTGACAACTATACTTACGATTTATTTATCATAATTTAGTCTGCCCATTCTAGGGCTCCTTAGAGATGGAATCATGTTATGTACATTCTTTGTAAGATTCCTTTCACTAAGCGTAATGTTTATTAAATTGGCCATATGTTTATCAGCAGTTCTTACTTTTCAATGAAATGAAAATACAATGGACACCTGGGCTTCTTGAAGTGTTTTATTATTACAAGTGGAACTGTTAAGAGCAGGTTTTTACAAATGTTTTGATGGATATATTCTGCCATTTAGCTTGAGTAATTACAAGTAAAACTATTGGGTCGTAAAATAGGTCCATGCTTAGTAATATAAGAAACTAGTAGATCTTTTTCCCAAATAGATGAGCAATTTCAAATTCACATCAGTATGATAAGAAAGTTTTAATTGTTCTACAATTTCTCCAGTATTCAAATTTTGATAGCTACACAGTGATATCATATTTTAGTTTTGACTTTTTTCTGATGACTAATGATATTGAACTCTTTTTTAATCACTGTGGACTATTAATATTGTCAAATATTTTGCCCATTTTAAAATATTGGCTGTTTCTCATTTTTTTTTCTTGAGAGTGTTCTTATATACCTTGAGTACTAGTCCCACCTCAGAAAGATGTTTATGAGTATTTTATCCTTATGTGATTTGTCTGTTCATTTTTTTTACTGTACTTTGATGGAAAGATTCTCAGTTTACTGAAGTTGCATCTACAAAAAATTTTACTTGTGAATATAACTGTGTCTTAAGAAAATTTACCTAGCCCAACACTGACAAGATTCTATTTTCTAAGATTCTATTTTCTATTTTATAAACTTTATTGTTTAAAAATTTCCATGTTTAAAACATCATTCATTTTAAATATTTTTTCAATATCACATGTCCAAAACTATCCTCACACCACTGTATTACTGTAGAATATGTGGCAAGTCAAATATTTATATGAGTGGATCTATTTCTGTACTATTAATTTTATTTTATTTATGAATTTTACCGTCCTTATACCAGTACCACACTGTTTATGTTACTGTAGTTTCATATTAAGACTTCAAATCATATTATCTAAGTCTTCTAATTTTGTTGTTTTTTTAAAAAAGAAAATTATTTGACTGTACTAGGTCCTTGCCTTTACTCTCAGAATGGTTTAAATTAGCATATACGTTACTATGCATAAACTATGATTTCATATATTTAAAGGCCATATTTGTCCCTGTAATCTGTTTGTGTTCTTAACAACTTCTTAGCACTCATAGTTTGGCTATCATTCCACAGTTTTTGGATTGCAAGGAACTAGACCCTCCTGGTCAATATTATGTAATATAGGGAATAATCTGAACAGATGTATATTCCTGAATCATGTTAGATTGATATCTATTAAAGCAATAGTATAGTCTCATCCAATTTTAGCTAGGACAGACTCTGCTAGCAAAAGCCCTAAAATAGCAGACACAAAAACTTATGTAAGGTCTTTTAAAAATACAGTAATGTTTTAGACTATATATTTCCAGTGTTACTTAAAAGTTAAAGTAGTGCTTCCTAGCAGTTATCTCCCCCATATATAGACCTATGACTCCAAAAATTGTAGATAAAAATATTCCAACTTTTAAGCTATGTGGTGATCTCCTTGTGAAAAATAATCACTATCTTTTGCATATATATGTCTATGAGACAGATTTTCTGAAGCAATATATTAAAGCCTATTTGAAATATAATAATAATAATTTTTTGCTCCTTTGTGAGGCAGGATCTTGCTATGCAATTCAGGCTGGGCTTGAACTCAGTTTGTAGGCCAGGCTGGTCTCAAGTTCGCAGCAATCCTCCTGCATCAGCTTCCTGACTGTTGAAACATAAACATTAGTGAGCATTTGCTTCCTTAATTTTTGGATGGAAATTTGAGATTCCCATATCCTAGTGGAACTCATTCTTTCTCAATTATTAAAATTATAGTGATTTAGGTGATAGAAGGATAATTATGTGGGAAATTCTACTATGTAATTCCTTTACTCCTCCAGCATATATAATGTTCCTATTCTGTGCCATGAAATACTTGAATAAACAGAAACCAAAACAATGTAAATTCTATTTTTGAAGATCTCAAAATTTACCCTCTGCTGTAATAAAATCTAAGTGATATTGTTATTATGATACTTTTTTAATGAGAACTTTTATGAATGCATACCTCTAAAGTTTTGAATTAATAGTTTATAGTTAGAATTCAGCAAAAAGATTTTTTAAAAAATTAACCTGCTAGGCCTGAGGTTGTAGCACCCTGAAAGGATTCTTGGCCTCTCTTCAGTTTTTATTATCTAAAAAAAAATGGCATACTATAATTCTCACCATGAGGAAGTCTAGAGTTTTGTTCTTTATCCAACTGCCATGATTTGGAATGATATGATTTGTTTGTGTGTTGAAGGCTTGATATCGTTAAGGTGTTGATTCTCCCCAAACTGGACCATAGATTAAACAACATTTTAAAAGAATCACAGAAACTTGTTTTTTACTTTAATCATCAAATGAAAAAAAAAACAATTTAGAATATCCAAAACAATTTTTGAGAAAGCACAAATATTATAGAAGTCAAAGTACCTAACTTCAAAACTTAATGTAAAGCTACATTAGTTAACACAGTATGTGAAATTCAGACACATAAATGAATGGAGCACAATTGAGAATCTAAAAATAGATTCACACATTTGATTTGTGTGGTGCCAGAGATTTAACACAGGGCCTCCACATGCTCAGAAAACATTCTACTACTGAGCTGCACCCCTCTCATTTTTGATTTTTGACAAATTTGAAAAGCAATGTTAATAAAAAGACAGCTTTTTTCAACAAGCAATATAAAATCAGTTGGACATCCATACACAAAACAAAACAAACACATAATGTCTTGTACAAAATTTAACTCTGAATGTATTACAGACCTAAATATAAGGACCTGACCAAGAAAACCTTCTCAAACAGGGTCATGCGAACTTTTTTATAAAGAAACAAATAGTAAATGTTTTACTTTTGTGAGGGCCACATATGATCTTTGTCACATCTTTTTTAAAAAATAAACCTCTAAAAGAGTAAAAACCACTTTCATCTCCCAGTCAGTGTAAAAATAGGACTGTAGGTCAAATTTAGCTCGTGGTCAATCCTGTATTTTCCCTTGTTTTAGAAGAAAGTATGAGAAAAATCTTTGTGCCCATGGACTGGGCAAAGTGTTATTAGGACACCAAGTCCATACAAAGAAAAAAAACTGATAAATTATATGTTACTAAATTTGAATGTACTTTAATATCATACCTGACAAAAGATTTGTAAGTGGAATATATAAAGAATTCTAAAAACTCAATAACAAGAAACCATCCAGTTTTTAAAATACAATTGGAAAGATGGATAATTTTAATAGATACCTCACAATTATAGATACCTGAATAGTGAAGAGGCACGTGTGAAAAAGATGCTCACTATAATTAGTCATCACAGAAAATGTAAGGTAAAATAACACTGAGATACATAATTATTAGAATTAGATTTTAAAAAAAAAATAAAAGTGACAATACCAAGCACTACCAAAAATGCAGAATAACTGGAAGTCATATACATTGTTAGAGGCGACGCTAAAGGCACAGGCACATTGAAAAGCAGTCTGATGATTTCTTAGAGGAATAGATATGGCCTTGACACATGACATAACAGCTATGCTTCTAATTATTTACTAAAGTAAATGTGAAGTTTCACACAAAAATTCACAAGTCAGTGTTCATGACAGCTTTATTTGTAATCAAAGAATTGGAAACAGTAACTAGGTATGAGATATATACCTGTAATCCCAGCACTCTGGATGCTGAGGCAGGATGATCACTGGAAGTTTAGGCCAGCCTAGGCTACACAGTGAGTTCAAGGCCTCGACTGGATAGCAATAGGGTGTCACAAAAAAACAAAACAAAACAAACAGAATTGGAAACAGCCCAAATGTCCATCATATATTGAAAAGATTCACAAAATGTAGCATAATAATGCAATGGAGTACTATTGATACAAGATTAATGAATCTCGAATGAATCTAAGTGAAATAAAACATACTCAGGAGGCTACCACCTGCATGATTGCGTTTATATGACATCCTTGAAAAGAAAAAAAAAAAACTGTATGTTTTAAGGTAGAACAGTGGTTGAGAGAGAATTGGAATTTGGGGAGGGATTAATTACTACTGGGTAAAAGACCGTTTTGGTACTGAAGAAACAGTTCTATATTTTGCTTTTAGTGGTTTTCATTGACTACATGCACTTCTTAAAACTAGTCAAATGGTACATTACAATGAGTGAAATTTTAAAAAGATTAAAGTTTTGAAAAATGGCAGTGAGAAACAGAAGACAGAGAGACAGCGAAGTTTCTTGATGTCAAAGAGATATTTTTTTCTGTCAGAAGAGATTTAAGACTATTTTAGGCCATTGACTTGAATTAATAAAGAGGAAAATATTGAAGGCTACATACCTTAAAATAAAGATATTCTGAAAATATATTTTAAATTTATAAATAATTACCATGATGAGTTACAAATAGAGGCAATGTATAATCTTTTGTAGTATTTTGTAAAGTTGATTTAACTACTGAAGCTGAGTGTTTAGTATATGGTAAATTATAAGACTATGAATTAATTTTGTATACCCTTATCTGAGTACTTATATGTACTTTGTCCTAATGAATGGCCAGTCTTTCAAGGTTCTTGCTACAAATTACATGCCTTTTCACATGGATATTATGGTTCCTGTGGAAGGGTCACTCAGCTGTTAGTTTTAATATCTAAACTAATGTGTTTCTTAAAGGTGATGTTGGACCAAGTGGGCAGCCTGGGCCAATAGGACCTCCTGGGCAGCCAGGAATTGGTGTTCAGGGACCACCAGGACTACCAGGACCACCTGGACCAATGGGCCAACCAGGTAAGAGTGGAGTAAATGTGCATTATAAGCAGTCCTAATCATAGTGGTAAGTTTATCAATGTAATAGTCTTCCAAAAAGTTGATTTAAGAGGTAAATTATCCATGTACCTAATTATTAAAAATGAAAAAATATAGATCACAGAATAAAGCCTATGTAATACCTGAATTTTTCCTTCCTGTTTATCCAAGATTGATCTACTTGCAGGCAGGTGCTTATGTCACAGAGCTAAAACCCTGGCCCAATTGATCTGTTTGCAAAAATGCAGTTTAATAATTACACTATGTTACCATTAACATGTAATCATTGAGTTGGACATAGTTTTGTAAGCAGACATAAATATCTGAAGCTGATTTTTTTCAGATCTGAATACCTATAGAGCAGTAATAAAACTTTTGTTTATTGGATCACTTAACATTTCTTACAGTTAGTGTTTAGCAAAAATACTCTATAAAATACATTACAGGCGTTTTCATTTTCTTCCCTTCTTTAAAAATAACTGAGTTGAAGTTTTTCTTTTTGCCCCCAAACCAGCATTTTATTTTTGTATTTTTTATTGATTTCTCAGAAAGATTTTTTTTTTAACAGAAACTTTGCCTCCAAGAGGATCATATGTATACTCTACAGTTGTGTGATAGTATATTAAGATTGTGGATTATGAGTCATCTGAAGATGTAAATTCTTTTTTAGAAGTATATGTTTATGTATATATTTATGATACATAGCAATATCATTTGGAGGAATTAGTACATATGCTTATCTATCATTTTTACCCCCTTTTCCCTAGATCCCCTTCTCATTCACACAAAGACTACCTTCCTGTTTCCTATTATCTGGATTTTATTATGTTCTTTCAATTATATATATGTTGGACTTCTCATTTAAGAGAAACTGTATGATATTTAACCTTTTGTATCTGATTTATTTTACTTATAATTATGTTCTCAAGATCTATTCATTTTCCTATAAATGACTTAAATGTACCCTCTTTATGCATGAATACTACTCTATGATATTGTATATTTTCTTTCTCCATTCATCTGTTGGTAACCATCTAAGCTGCTACTATAATTTAGCTATTGGGAACTGCTACTATCAATATGAGTGTGTAGTATCACTATAATGTAATGAATTCAGTGCTTTCTGAAAGATGCCAAGAACAGGTACAGCCTATATCCAAGGCAATTTTAAATTTTAGTTCTTTGAGGAATCTCTATAATGAGTTTGACAGCGATGTTACTAGTTTATACAGCTACCAGCTATGCAGGAAAGCCCCCCCCCACCACAGCTTCACCAGCATTTGTTGCTTTTTTTTTGAACATGCAATGATTACATTTTCTTCTGATGATGGGATCTCAATGTTTTGATTTGCATGTCTCTAGTGTTTAAAAATGCTGAATATTTTTATGTATACATTGACAATTTGTACTTGTGCTGTGGAAAATTGTCTATTCATTTCAATTGACCACTTTTGATTTCTGTCTTTTATTTTGAAGCATCTAATTTTGTGAGTTCTTTATATATTTTTTCTTTGTATATTTTTGATGTGAGTTCTCTGTCTGCAGAGTAACTGGCAAATTTTTTCCCATTGTGTAAATTGTCTCTTCACTGTGCTGGTTGTTTCCTTTGCCATGCAGAAGATGTTTTAATTTGATATGATCCCATTTGTTGATTCTTGGTATTATTTCTTGTGCAATTAAGGTTCGCTTCAGGAAGTTCTTTTCTATACATATGTCTTCAAGAGTTTCGTGAATGTTTTATTTTAGCAGGTTTGGTGTTTCTGTTTTAATATCTTAGTCATTGATCTATTCTTTTATGATTTTAGTATGGATTGAAAGATAGAGGTTTAGATTTACTTTTCTTTTTTTTGTCTTTTTCCTTTTTATCGGTACCAGGGATCGAACTCACGACTGCCTGCTTGCAAGGCAGGCGCTTATGCCGCTGAGCTAAATCCCCAGCCCCTAGATTTACTTTTCTACATGCAGGTAGCTAGGTTTCCTATGAACATTTGTTTAAAGAGACTATCTTTTCTCCAGCATATGTTATTGGCCTCTCTGTCAAATATCAAGTCACTGAAGGTGCTTGTGGTTGTTACAGCATTCTCGATTCTTTGTTATAATTAATATATGTTTGTGAAACATCATATATGCACTCATTGTGAGTAGTTGGTAATGTATATAACATATCTTAATTACTTTTGTATCTCTTTCCTCTACCCAGCTACATCAATTTCTTAGTCTCCTTCCCATTTGATAATGATTTATCTACTTATTTTCTATTGTTTGTCTTTATTCTGCTCTTTGATTTATTTACTTTTTGAGTTTCTCATATAGGAGAACCATATAATTATTAACCTTCTTTGCCTTAGTTCACTTATGTATTCAAGGTGCTTGAATTTTCTTAAAATTACTTGTTTATCTGTCTTTATGGCAGAGTACTACTCTATTGTGTTATAAATATCATATGTTCTTTATCCTTTCATCTCTTAACAGAAGTATAGATTACTTTCATGCCTTAGATATTATGAATTGTGCTGTTATAAATAAGGCCATTACTCTAATGTAATGTCTTTAACTCTTTTGGGAAGATTCCTGCAAGTGGAATAACTGAGTTGAATGGAATTTACATTTTTGAAAATTAAGTTTTTTGAAGAGACTCTATACTGGTTTTCATGGTAGTTTTATTAGTTTACATTCCCACTGACAAGGTAGAAGGGTTCCCTTTTTCCCATACCTCACCAGAATTTATTATTGTTTGATTTCTGGATGATATCCCTTCTTTTGGAGTAAGATATAATGTCAGTTTTGCTTTGCAGTTCTCTACTAACCAGCCATGTTGAACATTTTTAATATATTTCTTGGTCATTGATACTTCTGAAAATTTTCTATTCATTTCAGTTACCCATTTTTTATTAGTCTTTTATTCTGGATGATCTAATCTTTTTGAGTCCTTTAAATACTCCAGATATTAATCTTCTGTCTGAGGTAGCTGGTAAAAATGTTTTCCCATTCTATAGGTTGTCTCTTCACTCTGTGGATTGTTTACTTTGTTGTTTGGAAGCTTATGGTTACAGCTACAATCTTCTCCATGTCAATAGCCAATTTTCCCCACATCGTTTGCTAAAGAGGCTATCTTTACTGTAACATGTGTTTTTGGCTTTTTTTTTTTTTTTTTTTGTTAAAGATTAGGTGACTCAATGAGTCTGAATCCTGAATCCTCTATCCAATGTCATTGGTCCCTGTGTCTGTTTTTAATGTCAGGACAACCCTGTCATTATCACTGTAGTTTATATGACTCATAATCTGAGATTGTGGGCCTCCTGCTTTGCTCCTGTTGCTCAGGACTGCTTTTGCCATTCTGGTTCTGTCCTGTTGTGTTGTGTTGTGCTCTGTTTCGATATGAATTTTTGAACTATTCTTTGTAGTTGTGTGAGGAATGTTGTTGGTATTTTGATAATGAGTGTATTAAATCTATATATCAGTTTTGATAGTATGACCAGTTTGACACTGTTGTTTATGCTTGTCAAGGACAGAGGATCATCTTTCAATTTTCCAGTGTACTCTTGGATCTTCCTTTTTAGAATATGATAGTTTTGTTGCAGAGGTCTTTTATTTACTTGGTTATATTAATTCTTAGTATTTAATTTTCTTTGCTGTTATTATGAATAGTTTTGCTTTCCAAATTATTTTTCAGAGACTTCATTATTGGCATAAATTGAAACTACTGATTTTTGTACTTTCATTTTGTATCTTTCTATATTTCTGAACTTAATTATCAATTCTAGGCGTCTTGATGGAGTTTTTGTGTTCTTCTGGTTTAAACGATAATATCATCTATAAAGAGTGAAAATTTCACTTCTTCTTTTTCTATGTATATCCCTTTTGTTTCTCTTGCCTAATTGTACTGGTTAGTGTTTTAAGTATCGTACTGAAGAGAACTGGTGTTAGTGGACATCCATGTCTTGCTCCTGATTTTACAGAGAAAGCTTTCAGTGTTTTCCTATTTAGTATGATGTTGGCAATAGTTTCTTTTAAGTGGCTTTTATCACATATTCTCTTCAGAGGTTTTGTTGCACATGGATATTGAGTATTTGCAAAGGCTCTTTCTGCATCTATTGAGATAATAATGTGACTCTTTATCATTAGAACTTCTGCTTGACACCTTTTCTTGGAGTCTATATCTCTAGTATGTTTATTGTTAATGTTTTGGACTAGTTAAGTCAGTTTTTCCAACGTTATATTTGTTATCTCCCATATCCATATTGATTATTTTCTACATTATTTCCACCAATTTTAGAGTTATGTCCTTTTTGAACTCACTAGTTTCTTTACATCCTCTTTAATCTCTTTATATCCTCTTTAACCATTTTGCAAAAATTGGCTATCTAGTGCTTGTGTTGCTCTCCTTTGGTGCTGCTTGGATCTGCTTTGGCAGAAGTGGGAGTATGTACAGGCAATTTCTGGCTTATTTTTTTCATATTTTCTTTTTGGTACTGAGATTTGAGTTCAGATAGAATGAAAAGAGTTTGTTGTTGATAAGAAGATCCCTTTAGTTTCTGTTTTCTGGTGATGTATTGATCTTTGCTTTATTTGTGCACATATATGGTCTATGTTTCAGTCTATTCAAATTAATTGGGTTGAACCTGTCATTGCATTTTATTGTATTCATTTAAATTTTGTATTAAAGAGGATAAAAATGAACATAACAAAACAGAACAAAGCCAATCAGAAGAAAACAATGTAAATGGCATAGATTTCAAAACAAGACAACAGGAAGTCAGCACTGGCTATCATAATGTATCTTGTTTTCTTCTAAATAGTTGTCTACGTCTTCCCACACAATGAATTCATACAAAATAAAATAGTATTAAACTGATCAGAACAGAGTGATGAAGGCATTATAGGCCTTCAAAACGGACAATAGAGAAATCAACAATGGTTGCCATAATGTCTCTCGTTCACTTCAAAATAGCTGTCTGTACCTTCAAGTATGTTGAAATTAA